TTTCTTTGGATTTTTTTCGTTGTAGTTAATTTCCAGTTTTATGCCACTATGATCTGAGAAGATGCTTGATATGATTTCTATCTTCTTGAATTTGAAGAGACTTTGCCTATGTCCCAAAATGTGGTCTATCTTTGAGAATGTCCCATGTGCGCTTGAGAAGAATGTATATTCTGTGGCTTTGGGGTGGAATGTTCTGAAGATGTCGATTAATTCCATCTGGTCTAGCGAGTCATTTAGGATTGATATTTCTTTGCTGATTTTTTGTTTAGATGACTTGTCAAAGGGTGACAGTGGGGTATTAAGATCTCCTACTATGATTGTATTGCTATTAATCTCTCCCTTAATGTCCTCCAGCAGTTTTTTTATATATTGGGGTGCTCCCGTATTAGGTGCATATATATTTACCAGGGTTATTTCTTCTTGTTGGATTGCTCCCTTTAGTATTATAAAGTGGCCTTCATTATCTCTTGTTATGTCCTTCACTCTGAGATCTAATTTGTCAGATATAAGTATTGCTACCCCAGCTTTTTTTCCATTTCCATTCGCCTGGAAAACCTTTTTCCATCCCTTCACCCTCAGTCTGTGTGCATCTTTTTTTCTGAGGTGAGTTTCTTGTAGACAACAGATATATGGGTCTTGTTTTCTTATCCAATCTGTTACCCTATGTCTTTTGATTGGAGCATTTAGTCCATTTACATTTAAAGTTATAATTGATAGATACTTATTTGACGCCATTTTTATTCTATACCCCTGTGTTCCTTCTTTGCTTTCTATTTCTTTAACTTTACAGTAGACCCGTTAGCATTTCTTGCATTGCTGGTTTGGTGGAGATAAATTCCCGTAGTCTGTTTTTGTCTGTGAAGCTCCTGATTTCCCCTTCAATTTTGATTGATAGCCTTGCTGGGTACAGTATTCTTGGATTCAGACCCTTCCTTTGCATGACCTTGTATATTTCATCCCATTCCCTTCTGGCCTGATAAGTTTCTGTGGAGAAATCAGTTGCTAGTCTGATGGGGGTTCCTTTATATGTAACTTTCTGTCTCTCTCTGGCTGCTTTTAAAATTCTTTTTTTGTCGTAGGTGTTTGCCAGCTTAATTATAATGTGTCTAGGGGTTGATTTTCTGGGGTTCATTTTGCTTGGGACTCTGCGAGCATCTTGGATTTGTGTGGGTTTTTTCTTCTCTATCTCAGGAAAGTTTTCTGTCATTATTTCTTGAAATACGTTTTCCATGTCTTCCTCAATTCCCTGTCCTTCTGGAACCCCTATTACTCTAATATTGTTTTGTTTTGTATTGTCCCAGAGTTCCCTTAGACTTTCCTCCTGTTTTTTAATTTTTTTTTCCAGAAGCTGTTCTATTTGGGTATGTTTTTCCATCTTGTCTTCTAGCTCGCTGATGCGATCCTCTGCTTCTTCTAATCTACTCTTGATGCTTTCTATTGAGTTCTTTACAGTAGCGATGTCATTTTTCATTTCTTCTTGGTTCTTCTTCATTTCCTCTTGGTTCTTCTTCATTTCCTCTTGGTTCTTACTCATATTGTCAAATTTGTCTTCCATTCTTTTTAGCCATCTTATGATCATTACTCTGAATTCTTGCTCTGGTAGGTTGCTTCCCTCTATCTCGTTTACTTCCTTTTCTGGTGAGGCCTGCTTTTCTTTCATATGCGGGCTATGTTTTGGTCTCCCCATGATCTAGGATGTCTGGTTGTGTAGTTCTCTCTCTCCTGCTTTGATTTAAAGGCACCAAATACAACACAACCAGGTACAACACACAGGGGACTGAATCGGGATGTGTTTGAAATATTAATAACCACAAATAAGGGTGACTAGAACCCAGCTAGCAAAAACATACAATCAAACAAAAAGCATATCAAATCAATCTTATAAACAAAAGCATACAACTTCAGTATAGTTAACATTCAACATACAACTTCAAAGTGTTAGAGAGAAAGACTTTTGTTTTGTTTTGTTTTTAGGACAACTGCAAGGGAGGTGTGAATGGGCTCGGAGCAAGTAGTTGGAAATTAGATATATAGAAGTAGGGTGAAATTTTAGGAGGGGGTAGACAGAAGGAATGGGGAAAATCTAGAGCAGGAAAGGGTTAAGATAAACGGGGTACCAAAGGAAAATATCGGAAAGAGGGTGAAGGCATAAAGGATAGGTTGAGATAGAATAAAGCGTTGGAGAAGGAAAGATAGATAAAGCCTGTAGAACAGTAATCCTGAAATAAAATATATATATATATATATATATATATATATATATAATCAAATGAAATAAAAATAATAAAAATAAACAAAAAAAATAAGGTGAAAAAGGTAACTTAGTAGTAGTACAATGTAGTAATTATAAAGATAAAATCAAGTGAGGAAAAAGAAAAAAAATAGTTTCTTGAGTAAACGTTGCAAATAATGAAAACAAAAATAAAAAACAAAAATTTAAAAATTTAAAAATTAATAAAATTTAAAAAATTTAAATAAAATTTGCGGTAATGAAGGTCATTCGCTTCCTCTATTGTTATGATCCAGTCCTGATTTTTAGGCAGGTTTTGCTTTGTTTTTATTACACTAGAGTCAATTTGTGAATTAGCCTCTGGGGGCAGTGTTTCTAGGTTGACTTCCCAGACTCTAGAGCCTCTCCAGCTTTTTTTTTTTTTTAGTCCTCTCTGAAGCAGGAACTACGGAGGGGGGAGGGGGCAGGTCCGAGCAACCTCAATCTCCCGCAACTCTCCTATACCCCTCCGCGCCAGATCCAAATGCGTTGCTCTTTAGATATCTCCCCTGTTAGGAGCCCCGTCCACTTTCACGGGTGACACCCGCCCAACAGCGGGGCTTCTACTTGTAATCGCCGCCCTTGTCCTCCAGCTTCCGCGTTCTGCGCGCAGGCTTTGTTTGCGCCGCGAGTGCGCTCCACCCTCTCCCCGCGAAATCTGACCTTTTCGCCGAGTAGTGGGGCACTCCTGTGGGGCCAGGTGTTCGCGCCGCCTGGGATCCGCGTTCTGGGGGTCACAGTTGCTTGTTGGTCGCTGCGGCTGTTGATATTCAGGCCTCTGACACGATCCTATCTTCCTCTCAAGATGGCGAGGTTTCCCTATCCAAGCCGGCAGGTAGCTCCGGGCAGGGACGCAGCCCGCGTGGGTGCTTCCCTGTGAGGGGTACCTCTGTCAGCAGCCCCCCAGCAGTTTCTTCTGGTGTTCGCTGTCTCCCAGCTTGCTAATAAACACTCACAGCTCAAGACCATCAGTTGCTCTCTCTTTCTGCTTCAGGAGAGGGCTCAGAAACCGCCCATCTATTCTTCCGCCATCTTCCCTCCTCAAGGATATGTTTTTATTGATTTGAGATATATATATCAAATTACATATATATATATATAATATATATCAATGTGAGAGAGAAATATCAATTGCACCCTGACCAGGCAATGAACCTGTAACCTTTTGGTATATAGGACGATGCTCCAACTAATTGAACTATCTGGCCAGAGTCATCTGGAATGTTAAGAAGTAAATGAGGCCCTAGCCAGTTTGGTCAGTGGTTAGAGCAGCATCTTGCCTGGGCAGGTACCACAGTTGATCCCGGGCCCAGGGGCCCATGTGGGAGGCAACCAATCACTGTGTCTCTCTCACATTACTGTTTCTCTTCCTCCCTCCCTTTCTAAAAACTGGTGGAAAAGACATTCTCAGATGAGTTAAAAAAAAAGGCACATGAGTAAAGGTGAGCCTGTCTGCCTTTAAAAAGCAAGTTTCTTGTCAGATTTACCAAATATACTCATTTTTTCCTAATCTAAAGTAGGTACTATTATAAAACTTGTGATTTGTCACAGTTCAGTCTAAAATGACCTACTTTCAGGTGATCCTATATAATAAAGAGTTTATATGCTAATTAGATCGAACAGCCAAACGACCTTCTAGACATCCTCCCAGGCCACCTTCTGGGTGAAGCCGGGCTGCAAGGGCCGGCCGGGGCGCGAGGGGCTCTGAGGGCCGGACGGGGCGCGAGGGGCTCTGAGGGCCGGACGGGCTGCGAGGGGCGGCGAGAGGCTACGGGGGCTGCGCGGGCTGAACCCCTTGCACGTTGGGCCTCTACTGTTCCAAATAAGAATCATGGTATTTTATAGCTGACACTTATATCTAATCGGGTATTTTCATTGTAATGTGTAGCAACTGAGTCCTTGAGTTTATCAGTGCCTTATTGACAGCCAGATGAGAGAGCAGAGTTAGAATAAGAACCCAGGTGCTCCATCTTTTCTAGCCTCATTATTTTCTAGAAGCTCCACTTTGGCTTTAGCGATAGGTTTTCCCAAAATAGTCAGCCATAGTCTCAGCAAATAACTATATTCTGAATCTCAAATAGATTAGTCTATGATCACTTGTCTTATTTCTTTTTTAAAAGAAATATATTTTATTGATTTTTCACAGAGAGGAAGAGCGAGAGATAGAGAGTAAGAAACATCGATCAGCTGCCTCCTGCACACCTCCCACTGGGGATGTGCCCACAACCAAGGTACATGCCCTTGACTGGAATCGAACCTGGGACCCTTCAGACCGCAGGCCGACTCTCTATCCACTGAGCCAAACCTGCTAGGGCCACTTGTCTTATTTCTAAAGTAACATATTTTAAAATGCAATTATTTAAAAAATTTTTAATCTTATTTGTCAGGTAATAGGATAGCACTAGAAAGATTGCAAGCATTTTTAAAAATTCCCCTTCTGATTTTCCTCTGACAGTTAGGTGTGGAGGTGAATATCAGGTTTCCATTTAGCCCCCACATAGCTTGTCCGGGTGGATGACAGAGCAGCTGGACTGTTTCAAAGGTGCTGTGTTATTGAGAACTGACGCCAGTATACATTAAACTACGGAAAGGATTTGCATCTAGGATAACTAGTTATCAGAACATTATTAGCTGATATGTATAGTTCAGCAACAGAATTGTTTTGATGAGTGTCATTGTTGATTCGATTGATAGAGGGTATCTTTGATTAATGATTGTTTTTCTTTCCTAGTCAGCAGATAAGCAACGAGCTCTAGAAGAAACCAAAGCCTACACCACCCAGTCCTTAGCGAGTGTTGCCTATCTGATAAATACCTTGGCCAACAATGTCCTGCAGATGTTGGATATCCAGGCATCCCAGCTACGGAGGATGGAATCGTCAATCAATCATATTTCACAAGTGAGACCATACTGTTTTCTATATTGTTATGAGGAACACTTAATAAACACAGGCAATCTGTGATGTTGGCAGTCTTTATTATGTGAGTTAACTCACATGTATGACTTGGAAAATACAGACTCAATATTCATACTCAGTATTTTTTTATTTTATTTTTTTAAATCTTCACCTGAGGACATGCTTTTATTGATTTTAGAGAAAGAGAAAGGGGGAGAGGGAGAGAGAAATAGAAACATCAATGTGAGAATGAAACATTGTTTGGTTGCCTCCCGCGAGGTTCCCCTACTGCTGATTGAACCTGCAGTTTGGGGGTGTACCCCGAATCCATCCCTTTCAGTGTAAGGGACAACTTTCTAACCACTGAGCCACCCCTCCTTTTTGTGGGGGAGTTTTCTACTCTGGGATTTTGTTAGGGAAGTAAATTTTAATGGTTTATTAAATCTCAGTTGTCATGTTAACAGCCTTCAAGTGAAACTTTGTCTATTCTGTCTTTTACCAAATCACACATTTTACTTTTGAAAAATATAAATGTGATAGCTGCTTGTAGGGTTTTTGTTTAACAGGATGGTACATTACCTTATCAGAAAGAGTAATCTAAGTAACCTTATAAAATTATCTTTATATAGAACTTTAAAAAATTAGAAGGATATCTTATTTAATATTATTTAACCTTAAATCTGAATTTTCCACTATACATATTTCTTTACATCCTATATAAACTTGTGTAGACATAAAATAATTTATTGTGTGTTGTACTTCTGTGTCTCTTAAACTAAAATCAAATAAAAAAATCCATCAACAACAAGAATTTTGGTGGCTTTAATGAATGAGAGATAACATTTATTCTGAAAAATCCTAGTGGAAATGTCAATGACATCTAAGAGAGATGTTTTTATTGATTTTAGAGAGAGAGGAAGGGTGAAGGATGGAGAGATAGAAACATCAATGAGAGAGAAACATCGATTGGTTCCCTCTAGTACTGGGGATAGAGCTTGCAATCTGGGCATGTGCCCTGACTGGGAATCAAACCTGTGACCTTTTGGTTCATGGGTCGATGCTCAAACACCGAGCCACACCGTCTGGGCAGTCAGTGGCATTTTAAATTATTAAGTATATGATTAAATGATTTTCTATAGAAGAAGGGATGTTGATTAATAATCAGATAATAGAATTTCTAAGTTATACTTGAGAGACTTAAAGTTTTGGCATGTTTGCAGTCTTAACAAAGGACCCAAAAAAGAAAGTAGGAAGAAAGTGCAAATGCAGAAGATAAATATATTAGAGTTTCTAAAAAAGAGGGAGAACTTTTTATAGTTTGTAGGAGCAGGAGAGATTGTGTAGATAGATGGTGACATTAAGCAAATGAGGGTAACATATAATAAGCTATTTTCTGATTAGAATTCTATAGTTCTTTGGTAGGAAGAGTAGCAGCCTTAAGGAGGAAGGTGAATAAGTGTACTCGAGGTTGTAATTACGAGTATTAAGTCATTTAATAACATTTTCTTTTTTAAGAATCACATAAATTTATATTTAATTTATGTGATCTAATTAATACTATCTTTTAAATTTATTCTAATGGAATAAGTAAAACATAGATGAGATGAATGGATAGAGATGAGAGGGTCAGAAGTAATAGGGGCCTCTGTCAGAGCTGTCAGGCATATGTTGAACTGTCCTCATATGTTGAACTGAGTGTGTGCAGGGCAATCCTGAAGGAGTGTGGGATCTGCAGTTGCATAGCAGCTGTTACATTTATACAAAGTATGTTGGATGGAGGTGTGAGTAGGAAAAGTGGTCAGATGAAGATGAAGGCTTTATCTGTGAAATAAGAATACATTTTTAAAAAATTATATATTTTTAAGCATTTTTCTTAAGGATTAAAATTTTTTTCAATTGCCCTAGGTTCGGATAGAGCGTCGGCCTGCGAACTGAAGGGCCCCAGGTTCGATTCCGATTAAGGGCACATGCCTGGGTTGTGGGCTTGATCCTCATTGGGGGACTTGCAGGAGGCAGCCAATCCATGATTCTCTCTCATCATGGATGTTTCTATCTCTCTTCCTCTTCCTTCCTCTCTGAAAACCAATAAAAATATTTTAAAAATTTTTCCAATTATGTTTAATGTACAGGTAGAGTTCTTTGGTTTATCATTGATTGGTTGATTAATTGACTGATTTTAGAGAAGAAGGAAGGGAGGGGGAGAGAGACAGACAGACTTATCAATTTGTTGTTCAGCTGTTCCATTTATTTAGGCATTCATTGGTTGATTTCTTGTATGTGCTCTAATGGGGAATCGAACCCACAACCTTGGTGTATGGGGTCAATGCTCTAACCAACTGAACTACTTGGCCAGGACTAGAGTGCTTTCTTTTAAAAGTTAATTGAACATCAAAACTATTTGATGCTCTTTAGACTAAAAGATTATTCTATAGTTTAAGAGAAAATGCTTTCTATTTACAATGCAAATTCTCAGTAAATATTCAAGGATTGGTAAACTTTTTCTATAAAGAGCCAGGTATTTTAGGCTTTTTGGGCCACATATGGTCTGTCTCATATTGTTCTTTGTGTATATTTGTTTTTAAACAACTATTTAAAATGTAAAAACCATTCTTAGCTTGTGGGCCATACAAAAGCAGGCCTGGGCCAGATTTGGCATATAGGCTGTAGGTTGTAAACCCTTACTCTAAAGTACTCCCCCCCCAAAATGTTTGGTATTTAAAAATTATTATCATGCTTTATTAAAAATATTATGTTTTTAGAGGGAACCAGATGTTCTTAAGATATCTTGAGACCAGATTTTTCTTTTGCAATTTGGGCAAAAATACTGGATTTGGAGAATTTGGAAAGCAGATTGAAGAGGCAAAGAAGTGGAGCTGCAGGCAGGTCAGAGAGAGATCACGTGTTTGGAATGGTGGTGGCGTCAAGAGTTAGGTGAGGGCTGTCTGGTAGATTGGCTCAGGACCAGCGATATCATATATCTTTTTGATATTATATATCAAAAAGAGCTGTTTGATTTCTTTCCTCATCAATGTCTTCTCTCTCCTGGGTAAGAACCTTTTATTTTCCAGTCTTCTAGTGCTCTAGCTCTTTTCTCATTTTAGTGGAAATGAACACTGAGGAGGGAAGATAGGGGATCTAGGTTTCACCTTGGTTCTTTGGCTGACTTGTGTGACATTTGGTTTCTTTGAACTGGATTTTTCTTACATGTAAAATGATAGGACTGATTAGATTATTTCTGAGCCATCTTCCATCTTGAATTCTTTATTCCACTGAGATTCCCAGAATGATACTTGATTTGTAGTTGCTTTTTTCTCTTTTTATTCTGTTGGTTCTGCTATTTGTCTCAGTCTGTGCCCCAAGTCACTCTGAATTTCAACCTAAGGATGAGAATTCCATTGGCTCTATCAACTATGTATCAGGAAGAAATACTTTAAAAAAATGACAAAGTAATAACCCAATCTCTAAATGTCAAACATTTTAAAATGCAAGACAGAGTTATGAATATTTAGTATTAGACACCTTATTTTTTACTGAGTGGACAATATAGTATTGAATAGTGTACTAATGTATACCACACTCTCCATATCCATAAGGAACTACATATCTTATTTTATTGCTTTTTTTTTTTTTTTTTTTTTTTTTTGGTAAATCCCGAATTAAGGAAGTCTATGAGTGCCATTTTCCCAACAGGCTTAGGTAATGATTAGTATTTTTTTCAACAATAAGGTATTTTTTGACTAAGGCATATAATTGTTTGTAGACATAATGCTGTTGCACATTTAGCAGACTGCAGTATAGCGTAAACATAACTTTTATATGCACTGGGAAACCAAACATTCACGTGCCTCATTTTATTGCGATACTCGCTTTCGGTGGTGGTCTGGAACCGTCCCTGTGATCTTTCTGAGGTATGTCTGTAGTAGGATAGGTTCTTGTTGTGGTATACCTTAGGTATTTTAAGGATGATAAAATTTTAAGAAATTCCATCTCGTTCTTGCTGTTATCTCAAATCTTTGGAAGCATATTTTTAAAAGTGAACTGAAATTTTAATCTTCAAACTGAGATCAGGATTTAAATTAACATTAAATATTTTCAAGAAAATATAATTATCAGAACAAACATTTAATTTTATTGAATACTTGTACAAGTACATAACTGCTTTTAAGTGAGTATAGCATTATGTATAAGAATGAATGCTGTTTACTGTGTACATTTCTGGTAAGTTTATAAGAAGGGTTTATAGAACATTATTCAAACTAAAATTCTTATAAATTAAAATTCTTTAAGCCATTCCCATCTTTTCTCTCAACTCCTAAAAACAGCTTGTACTGTCTGTCTGCTTTAGTTCCTTGTGACTTAAAAAATCATGAGAGATCAAAAGGCAATATAAATGAAAAGGTAGTGTTTTTCCAAGCCTCCCAAGAGTTAAAAATTAATTGGGCCCAGTGTTCAAGTAGTTAGTAGAAAGCAAGTAAAGGAGATAGAAAATAATAGTATAAAATAATAGAAGAACTCTTTAGTACCTGAAGAGTTAGGTACCAACAGAGAGTGGGAAATCTAAACCCTAAGAAACTCACCATGTTAGATAATATTTTCTTTAAAAAATTCTCTCTCATTTAAAAATTCCCAAATTAAGGAAATCCCAGTAAAGTAGGAAAGTAGGGCTTATACAGTTCCTAATTAATTTGATATGTGTAGTTTACGCCATTTTTATAAAAAATGTATAACTGAAATTACCCGTTCAGTTTGTTGGTAACTAATTTGTTTTATGAAAAGTGAATAATTTATTTGTAATTGGAATAATTAAAGGCTTAATTGAAATGTTAGCTTACTAATGAAGAAACAGACATTTTAAGGAGGGAAAAGGGTTGACAAACTTTTTCTGTAAAGGCCCAGCTAATATCTCACACTTTGCAGGCCATCAGGTCTCTGTTAGAAATGATCACCTATGCCATTGTAGTGTGAAAATACTTAAGCAAGTAGTATGGCTGGATTCCAATAATATTTTACATATGGAAACTGAAATTTGAATTTCACATAGTTTTCATACATCACAACATTTTTCAACCATTAAAAGTGTAAACACCATTCTTAGTAGATGGTGGGTGGAATTTGGTCTGTCAAAACCTTGCTTTAGCCTAAAACTGGAGAAAGTCAGTATTGGTGCAAAGTGGAGCAAATTTAACAGTTGTGGTTAAAAATATGAATAATGATGTTAAATTTCTAAACATTTATATTTGATTTTTCTGGGTATTAGAGCTATACATTTTTTGGTTGTACTTATATTTTGCAGACTGTTGATATTCATAAAGAGAAAGTTGCAAGAAGAGAAATTGGTATTTTGACTACCAATAAAAACACTTCAAGGACACATAAGATTATTGCTCCAGCCAATCTTGAAAGACCAGTTCGTTATATTAGAAAACCTATTGATTATACAATTCTAGATGATATTGGACATGGAGTAAAGGTAAGTATAATTTTTGTCAAGATTTTTAAAACAGTAGACCATGATGGACCTAACTCTAGAAAATTAAGGTTTTATCTTTCCTTTTCTAGGGAACCAAAACTTAGCCCAGCTGTGTTTCTGAAGAGTCCTTATTGCTATAAACTATTTTAACTTCCTTGCTTCTTTTTAGTGCTATGTTTGCAAGTTTTAAATAATTATCTTCGAATGAATTGCATTTGCTTAATCAGTTAATGATAATACCTCATGTATATGATAAATAAATGTGGTGTAATCTTTCTAACCTTTTAATGATTTAATATGACTGATTAAAATCATTCATTATGTTATTAAGTATCTTTAAATTTTTCCCTTAAAAATTTATCAGCAAACTTTGGGCATTAGTTTTCATAAAGAACATAAACAAACAAAAATGCACTTAGATTTTTCTAAAATAATTTTATCTTAACATTCTGGGTGAGAATAATTTAGATAAAAGTAATATGTGAATTAATATTTCCACTGCTTTTGCATATATGGTCTTTGTATTTTTTGGCTATCTTCTAAAATTCATCGAGTGCCTGCTAAGTATATAAACATTGAGTTTTGCTATGATCAAAACTTGAGAGGTATATAAATTTTATTTAAATTGGTGTTTGTACTTAAAGTATTCAGAGTTTTAACTAAGCATTAAGTTATTTAAAGTTTGCATCTTATAAGTGATTTTAAAGACAATAACTTATGAAATGTGACTCAAATAAACATATATGCTTATGTGAAACTGTATAGTTTATGCAGTTGGTTTATGACTATAAGCAAATTTAAATTAAAAATACTCTATGCTAGTATGGCTAATATGTGCATGAAAATGTACAATGTAAATTTAAAAAATATTTTTCTTCCTCAGAATTTTGATAATCACTATTTGATATTTAATTTTATAATTAACACCTACATATATTTGGATTACAACTGTATTAATTAGAACATGCTAATATAGGATGTGTAATTCGATGGATAATTAATAACTGAAATTTATTTCAGCTTGGGCAAACCTTTTGAGATTTATTCAAGACTAGCAACTGCTAATAGAAAATTTTAGGGTACTGCCAGAATCTAACGAGAAAAAGGCACCTGGAATATAAAACGATTTGTGTTTGCTCACTTATATAATAAAACGGTGATTCTCCACTTCAGTGCTCATTTGATTCTCAAGTAAAATGTTACTGTTTTAGTACTGTGCAGTCCCTTTCAGTTGTTTGGACTTTTAGTTTTTAGGGTCACTAATTTGAAGAATCTTTAATAGAGTTAAGGTTTAAATAAAACAGTGTCATATAATTTCATCAAAAAAAACTCTTGTTCATGACACATTCTGCTTTAACCACTCTTTCTATGATCTACTGAAACATTTTTTAATGCTGAATGCTTAACTTGTTTTTTCTTTGTTTTCCCCTTTCTCTTTACATCCTGAAGTTCCAACTAACCTTTCAATGCTTTTTTTCCTTACCTCTTTTATTTGCTCCATTTATGCATTAAGTGGTTGCTTAGATTTAAGGTAAGAGATTCCAGGGCTGGATTTCCATTCTTTGTTCTTATGTAGAACATTACATATGGGGAGTGAAGAGATATTTTAAAACCTTTTAAAACCAAATAATTCCTGTTTTATTTTTTATTTTTGTCATGCAACTTTGTGGAGTCTTCATGTTCAATGAGGGCAGTTATTTTTTTATGTTTTGCCCTATCTTGTGTGCCTAGCTAGTGCCTGACTCTTCATTAGGTGCTTAGTAAATATTCAATAAATGGTTAATACATTCTGTGATACTGAAATGTAAGTTACCCTATCATAAAATGTTATGGAATGAAATTAGCTGGATTATTTAAATGTAGAAATTTTGTTAAGAGTTAGAGAGCCAACTAATGTGCTTTGTTTAACCCTCCCCCTGTGTAATAGCCTTTTTATTCTATAAATGGTGTGCTGTGTTATATACCTTGTAGCCACTATATCATTATCACTTGATTCTTAATGTAAAGAAATTGAAAAGTAGAAAATATTCAGTGTTACAGGGTGTGTTTTTAAGTTGCAGTATCGTGTATTTTGCAAAAAAGAAAATTAGTCTTTTTCCTCAAATTGTTATGTAAAAAATATGCTTCAATATAAAATCACTTTGAGTTTTCAAGCTGAGGATTAATTATATGCAAAACATCATAAGTGCATGACAGTGTTTAACAAAATACAAGATAAGCCGAGATCGGTTTGGCTTAATGGATAGAGCATCGGCTTGGGGACTGAAGGGTCCCGGGTTCTATTCTGGTCAAGGGTATGTACCTTGGTTGCGGGCATATCCCCAGTAGGGGGTGTGCAAGAGGCAGCTGATTGATGACTCTCATTGATGTTTCTAACTATCTCTCTCCCTTCCTCTCTGTACAAAACCAATAAAATATATTTAAAAAAACAAAACAAAAAACAAAATACAAGTTAAGAATTAGAGAAATGTTTTCTTTGGTATTTTTTATTTTTAGTAATATTTTAATATTTTGGAGGATTAATGGTAAAAGACACTCTAGTTTATTCCAGAAGCCTATCATATAGTACATTACTAAAATTATTTCACCAAATTGAGCTTGCACTTTTTTTTCCTTAGGTGAATTTTATAATTTTTCAAATACATATTCTTTCTAATACCTAGATTGCCATGTCTTTATGTAGAAAATGATAGCAAGAAGACAAGATCACTGAGATGTGAATTAATAACTAGCTATTGACCATGCGGCCAGAGATTTCAATAGATGGTGGTAGGGAGATGTGACTAGGGGAGCCCAGGCAAACGCACCCCGTGTGCTCCTGATCAGTGCTGGATCCGTGCGCTCATGTGGGATTGTGAGGAGAATTCCTTGGCATAAAACAGATGGAACCAGACCCAAAATAGTGTGGCTGGCTACCTTGGTCTCTCTAAAGTCTGAATTCAAATTTTGGCTATTGATATGTTAATCTCCAAAAATAAATGAAATACAGAGATTAACTGAAAGAAAAACACAGAAATGGACAATAGGGATCAGTTCTTTTCCTTTCAAGTTTAGACCAGCTTGTTTAAGCTACTATCCCATGCTCATCTCCTCCAAACCTACTCTGATTTCTTCTTTACCTTTCTGGATCTTCATTTGGAAGACAGGGCAAAATTTCAAAACAAGGAAATGAGAGACTCCTTGACAGAAAGATCTAATGTGGAAACATCACGCTTGGATAAGAGTCCTTGACATTTCTCACCAGAGAGCTCCTCCCTCCAGTACAGCGTGTGTTTCTCCTGCACTGGAGAAGAGTCCCCTGAGTTTGCTTAGGAGCTAGAGTGCACAGTGTTGTCTTTGCTTTCTTCCTAGTCCTCTTTGAATTTGTCTGTCTGCTGTACAAACTTGTGGCACATTAACAATTACCAAAACAAAGTAGAGAAAAATAAATTCCTCATATAGCAAATCATGTGTCTTCCTATGGAGAAAAAAAGATTAGTGGTTTTGGAAGGTGATAAATGAAATAATAGGACATATTAAGGTAGAAAATAGAACTAAAGGAAAAAAGGTTAAAGTTATAAGGGACTACAAATAACTAGTCCCATAGTTTTCTAACTGAGCTGCTTGGTGGCCCATGGATTTTCTCAGGTGCCAGGGAGTCGACTGATGTTTGGCAGGGTTGTCTGCTGTTCTGATTTCTCCTCAGCTCTTCTTCAGTCTGTTTTGCTCTCATTGTTGTCAGATTTGATGCCTTTGGGACAGACTCTAAACAAAGTTTGTATTTTGGGATCAGACTTGGGAATTGACTCAAAAGAGACTTCCATGCTTAAAATTTGAATTTTTAACTTTTTATACCTCATATTTTGGTGTTTTTTGTAAATTTATTTTTATTGTCGAGGTTATTACAGATATCCCACATTTTTCCCACCTGCATCCAGCTCCTGCCCTACCCCAGGCCTTCACCACAGTATGGTCTATATCCATGGTGCTATATGTATACACATAAATAAGTTCTTTGGTTAATCTCTCCTGCCTCCACCCTGAGATCTGTTGGTCTGTTCTATGCTTCCATGTCTCTGGACCTATTTGTTGGTTAGTTTATTTTGTTTATTAGATTCCACATATAAATGAGATCATGTGAAACTTGTCTTTCTCTGACTGGCTTATTTCACTTAGCATAAAAATCTCCAGGTCCATCCATGATGACCCAAAGGGTAAGAGACCCCCTCCCCCCCCTTTTTTTTTTAATAGCTGCATAGTATTTCATTGTGTAAATGTACCACGGTTGATTTATCCACTCTTCTGTTGATGGGTGCTTGGGTTGTTTCCAGATCTTAACTATTGTAAATAACGCTGCTATGAACAGGGGGGTTCATATATTCTTTCTGATTGGTGTTTCCGGATTCTTTGGATATATTCCCAGAAATGGGATTGCTGGGTCAAAGGGGAGTTCCATATTTAATTTTTTAAGGAAACACCATACTGTTTTCCATAATGGCTACACCAGTCTGCATTCCCACCAGTGCACTAGGGTTCCCTTTCATCAGATCCTTGCCAGCACTTGTTGGTTGTTGATGGTAGCCATTCTGGCAGGTGTGAGGTGTTACCTCCTTGTCTTTTTAGTTTGTGTGATTAGTGATGTTGAGCATTTTTTCACGTTCTTGGCCATCTGTATGTCCTCTTTGGAGAAGTGTCTATTCAAGTCTTTTGCCCATTTTTAAATTGTATTGCCTGTCTTTCTTTTGTTGAGTTGAATATATTCTTTACATATTTTGGAAATGAACCCCTTATTGGATTATCACTGGCAAATATTTTCCTATACAGTGGATTTCTTTTTTATTTTGTGGATGGTTTCTTTTGTTATGCAGAAACTTTTTATTTTGATGTAATTCCGTTTTCTTATTTTTCCCTTTGTTTCCTTTGCTCTAGGACATGTATCAGCGAAAATTCTGCTACATGAAATGTCTGTGGTTTTACTGCCTATGTTTTCTTCTAGGATTTTTATAGTTTTGTGACTTACATTTAAGTCTTTAGTCCATTTTGAGTTTATTCATGTGTATGGTGTAAGTTGGTGGTCTAGTTTCATTATTTTGCATGTACCTGTCCAATTTTCCCAACATCATTTGTTGAGAGACTGTTTTTATTCCATTGTATGCTCTTGCCTTCTTTATCTAATTCTGGGATCTCTCTTCTGTTTCATTGTTCTATAGGCCTATTCTTGTGCCAGAACCAGGCTGTTTTGATTACAGTGGCTTTGTAATATAGTTGATAGCTGGTATTGTGATCCCTCCAACTGTGGTGTCCTTCCTCAAGATTACTGCGGTTGTCAGGTCTTCTGATAGTGTTTAAATCTGTAATTTGGGTTGTTTTTTCTTCAGTCGACTGAGGAACACAAGTTGTAGAGTTTAATTTATAAACCCTTTGAACACAAAATAGTGAAAAACTTATTTGGTTAATGTAAAGGTAGTACAAGATCAGTGAAGTATAAATTCTAGATTTTTTCCAACATTCCATAGGGACTCTGATTTCTTAAGTGATTTAAGTTACTCATCCAAACCTCATAATCTAAACAAATACAACAAACATGATGATTCTACGGATCATAAAATGTACCAAGCTTTATTCATAGAAATTTCCACCAGATTTTAATTTATATATTGTTTATTTTATATTTTGGGGGATGGAGTAAAAGACCTAAAGGAGATACTGCAATTTAAATGAAAACACCCTATATACCAAAAACTTAAATCAATGTTGGAAAGCTGACTTCATGTATTTTTAACTATTCCATATATAGAATAAAATTTTCTTTTACTCTTTTTCTATCCCTGCTCCTTTTCCTTCCTTTGTAGCAAATTGCTGTAGTTTAGTATTTGGTTCACCTACTTCTTCATCACTTAAAGTAACTTTGGGATCTGTGTTGTTTAAGGTTGAGCTTAAAGGACTTTGGTTACTACTTTAAAAAAATCTTGTCATCAATTAAAATTTAATAGTTTTAAAAACTATTAGTTATTTGTCATGTTACTTCTAAAATTTTCCTCAAATGTGGATTGATTTAAAAACCAAACAAACTTCTGGCATTTTCATTTTAAGATATGATTAGTATACCCTCTGCTTATTGATGATGGGGAGAACAAGGATAAGTTAATCTTTATTTTATTCTTTCTTGGTAACCTGTTTATCTTATATTTATTGTATAAAAGCAACAACAAAAGGATTACTGATAAATGCTTCACTTAAAAAATACTGACATTTCAAAGGTATCATTTGTCATTAAAGATTGTTTTATCATCACACACAACTTGTTCACTGGGCTATTCATTTGAAGATTTTGCTTCTTGTTATTTCTTGCCTATTCACATGACAAGTAGTGTTTTAGGATTTAAAAAATTCCATTTAATTTTGATAGCCTCAGTACTCTGAATACAATTATGATTTATTTTCTTAAAATTTATTTTTGAAATTACATACTTAAATGTAGTTTCTGATTCCAGTGGTGTAATGTCTTGAAGTTTCATTTTATACATATAATTTGAATACTATAGACATTCTTATGAGAAAAGTTAAGATCCTTTTTTGAAGTGTGTAGCAATCCAAATTATCAGGGGCTTGAAATAGGATCAGGCATGAGCCGGTGTGGTGAATATTACATGTACTATTAAAAATCTCAAACATTTGAGATTGTGTTTGAATTAAGAATGACTTTTTTTTAGTTCCTTAGAACATCCAGATTTCTAGGGCTGGCTGTGTGGTGCTGACACACTCTTTTGTGTTACCTATTGTTCCCATCTTACCCAGCGTTTCTACACTTGCATTCTCAGTTGGGGGTAGGACAGTGAGGAGTCAGGCCCCCGCTCTATGTTGCTCACATCTTTGCCGTGACTGAGTTAATCTTCATTTGGGGCCTGAGCCGGTCTCATTGCCACTGGAATGAGGACATTGCCTGGGGTCCCTGTACTGCTCACAGTTGAAAGGGATAGCTCAGCCCTAACTTTCCACTTTAGATGTTTAGGAACATGCCTTAACTTCTGGCAGTGTGTAGGTAGGTGATTCCTTCCTAAGAGAATTGAAAGAAATCTGAATTGTAAGGCTGAGCCACTATTAAAAAAAACTTAAAATTTTATCTGTATATCATGCAATTGAACTTTATTTTGCATTCTCTAGTTACTAGATCAAAACTATAGTTGTATATTTTATTTGAGAAGTGTGTTTTGTATGACATACTATCTAAAAAACAAAGAATTGTTTATGGTTGTCATTGTTTCTGAGGTTTTTATAGTTATCCTATTTAATTTCAATTGAGTGTAGTATCAAATGGTCCAACCAGTGATCTGTTGGTGTGATGGCCTAATGGCAAATAAAGTCTTTGCACACAAGTTTACAATCATTTGAAAATTTCACACTAGGAAGAGTCCTTTGAGTACAACTGTAGAATAATAGTGGAGTAGAAATTGCAATTGAAATGCATGGCCTCTAATTTTCCCCCCTGTTTAAACCTTCCCCTTCTTTGTTAAATAGCATAGCATTATTTCCAAAAGTGCTCCTTTGTTTCCCTGCATACAAATTGAATGTTTCTGAAAACTTTTTAGGTGAGCACCCAGAACATGAAGATGGGTGGACTGCCACGCACAACGCCTCCCACCCAGAAACCTCCCAGCCCCCCTTTGTCAGGGAAAGGGACACTTGGGTGAGTATGGAACTAAGTAATAAGGAAACTTTTTCATGTAGTGTTGTGGAGAACTAAACACTACATATATTTAATTTTTAATATTTGAAAAGAGAACATTTTCCTTCCTGGCACTATCTTTTTGTGAATAATTTTCCCTTTTTCGGGAAAACATTTTAATACTTTAAAAAGATTTTCGTTAGAATTTATTTTTCTAATGAATTTTACATTTAAGAGTAAATCCTAACTAACGTTGCTGGGTTATTATAAATTGCACTCTAATTCTTATTTTCATAAAAGCTTTAGTCTTGTATTATAGTTAGCTATCCTTATTTAGACGACTACTCTGAAGAACACTATGTAGACTATAAAATTCTGTATTCTCAGTCGATGAGAATATTGAGCTTTAATTTGGTCCTACAGAAGTGGGCTCTGGATTAGACTTTTGGCAGAAATGGTCAATTAATAGAAAAGCTTGACTCTCTTCTTGTGCAGCATCGTAGTATAAAAATTGGTTGATCGTGGAGGTTTGTGATCAGGTAGGCATAATACACCTCAGAAGCCAGATGACCAAAATTGTGATCCAGCCTTGCTCCTGCGGTCTTATATCGTCAACCTCTTAGAAAATTCAGTTTTTTCATCTGTAAAAGGGGGTAATATTTGTCATCAATTTTTTCAGAGTCACTATCGTGAATTGGATTTATAAAACAAGTATAAAACAAAAATTGCTTTGACAACCATTGTCTTTATGATATATGCTTAAACATTTTTAATTGACAATCTTGTTTTTGGGCCCCCTCACCAAAAAAACAAAAAACAAAACAAAACAAAACAAAAACTCAAATGAAAACCAAAAACACACAGAAAATCATAATCAAGCAATGTGAATCAGAAGACAAAGATGAATTGGATGTAAAGAAGTATAATGTTGGGAATTATAGTTAGTACAGTGGGAAACAAAGGAATAGAAATGAATTCCAGCCAGAAATAGGATTTTATTTAGGGTAAACAAACAAAAAAAATTCTGCTTAGATTAGAGAGGAACAAATCTAGAAGATCAAATAAGATTTACACTTCAAGCTAGAACGTAGAGGACATAGTAGAGTATAATTTTGCAGAGGTAAGAGCAGAGTCAAATCAAGAGGAAGTACTTTATTTTCCTGTGGAACATCTACAGTTTTATCATGTATAATGCCTGATGGGTTTTCTTAGATTCTTAAATCAAGATTGTTGGCAACATAACCCACTGTAGTCACTAATAAAATAAAATTTTCTGATGCTCTCAAATTTGGAACGATTTATGCATATACCAATACTTGTTTTGTTTGTGTGTTAGCAAGGGTTCTGGAGGATCCTCAGTCTCTGGCACCATGAACTGGTTGATGGTCATAGCCTGGCCATTTTGCAGTATTTGCCTAGCCACCACATATTGTTCCTCTGTCCCTTTTTCACCTTGTTTTTGTCATTATCTTCACTGTATAGTTCTGTCAGCAAAGTTTTTTTTTTCTTTCTTTTTTTCTTTTTCTTTTCTTGCTTGAAACAACATTTTGGTTGTCTGGAAAAAAATTTTAGAAATCAGAAATCAGATGTTTGGAAATTAATTTACAGTTTTCTATTACAGTTTTTTATGTTTATACACAGTTTCAAAGATACCTAAACTTTTTAGTATTTTAAGTGCAAAGTCCTGCCATTCCTTCCCCTCCTCTTTAAACCAATATCTCATTTAGTGCTCCTTATTTGTTTTTTGTTATAAATGTACATATGTGTTTATGCGAAGAGATTTTGAGGGTAGTGGAGTGGCTGGGGTCTTGCAAAGTGATTTCATCCAAAATTGGTGAACCTTGATGGAGTAACCCAGGAGAGCAGAACTTAAAGGAAACTTGGGAGCTTTGGAGGCGAGAAGTGAGAAATTCATAAGTTAAGTGAGCAACATCATTTCAGGAAAAGAAAGTTTTTAATGTTCACATCTTGAGATCCCACCTTTTATTCTTTTAAAAATATATTTTTTTATTGGTTTCAGAGAGGAAGGGGGAGGGAGAGAATTCGATCAATGATGAGAGAGAATCATTGAGCAGTTGCCTCCTGAATGCCTCACTGGGGATCGAGCTCACAACCCGGGCCTGTGCCCTGCCTGGGAATTGAACCCTGACCTCCTGGTTCATACGTTGAACCTCAACCACTGAGCCACGCCGGCCAGGCCCAATTTTTTTCTTTTAAAGACAGAATCTCATCTACAAAATCTTAGTTGAGAATTTATTGTCTTAAAAATTTGGAAACCATACTCTGTGTGCATGAAACTAATACAAAATGATATTGAATGTATACTGTGATTGAAAAATAAAAAATATGTTAACACACAAACAAAAAAATAATTCGGAAACCGTATTTCCTTTCTTACTCTTTTCATTCTCTTCCTTTAAAAGGAAATTAAGCACACATGTAATACCTAAAGGGGAAAAAAGGGTACTATGCTATTAAAATCCAGTTTGTTTTGTACTCTAGTTCAGAGTAAATAAGGTAGAAAGATTTAGGCCTTTTTCTGCTTCCCCCTTCCTTTTAAATGTTGAACTCTGAGGGAGGGTCAAAGGTGGAGAGATCAAGGTGAAAGTTAGAGGAGGAAGTGAGGTGAGAATGGGAGGAGATGAAATGAAATTGTTTAGTGTATGGATATAGTTTAATTTCTGTGTAGTCCCTGTGTACAAAAGGAAACAGGGTTATAGTTGCTACTGGTCTTCAGTGTGGTGTGAGCGTGTCTGAGTATCTTCGGTTAGGGAGAGAGGGTGAGGAAGATAACTGGTGCATTCATGCAATGCGGTTGGGAGACCTGGACATGGTACTAAAACCCAAGGAGAGTCTGAAACACTGGCTTTTCTGGAGGGAGAATTTTGCGCTCACTGGGGATGAATGAACAAAATTGCATTAGCACAGGGAAATGAGGTTGGAGACTAAAAAATAACAGTACTCATCACAACCCTAATGACGGAGAAATTATACTTAAGGAAAGACTGAAATTGGTACCTGGGTTATGTAAAAGACACACTTTTCTATCTCTCAGTACAAACTGTATTTCACTAACTGGCAACTCGGGATCGGTTGTGCCGGAACTTGCTGATCACACCATCCATCCGCTCTTCTTTCGTAGGCGGCACTCCCCCTACCGCACACTGGAGCCCGTGCGTCCTCCAGTGGTTCCCAATGATTACGTTCCTAGCCCAACCCGTAATATGGCCCCCTCGCAGCAGAGCCCTGTGAGGACAGCTTCTGTGAATCAGAGAAACCGAACCTACAGGTATTTCCTCCGCCTCGGTGCGAAACGGCATGGTCACAGCGCCACTGTTTGTTCAGACCAGTCTCTCTCATTCTCCCAGCGCTAAGCCCTTTTCCTCACTCTGCTCCCCCAAACCTCATCCGATTCCACCTCTCTCCTCATGTTCTGATGCAACTTTGGGCAGTCAGGAAACCGGGGTGGCGGGGGGGGCATGTTAGAGTTCAGACCTCTCTGCAAAATTAAGTTATAACTGACCTTAAAAAGTGATGGACCAGAAATGGGAGTTTTCAAGTTGTTTTTTGGTGGAACTTTACAGATGAAAAACTACATGCAGTAAAACATGAATATGGGATAATATATATCAAGATACTGTTACAAATAAAATTAATCAAATAATCTGTTCAGAAGTTTCTTCAGACAGGCAGTAAACTGTAGTAAAAAGGAAGTCTTTTTTTATGTTTTGAGCCCCTTCATTTATCATTTATGTTTATAATTTTTTTCTTTAACATATGCTTACTAACAGGTGGTCAAAACAAGTTTCTTGAACTCTGCTTTTTTCCTCTCCTAATTAAGAAACTCATGTGTGCGGTAGAAGGCTTGAGTTGTTTTTATCGTTGCTATGTTCATCAGAAAGGGGAAAGGCTGGCCCCCCGCACTCACACACTCACACACACTCACGCCCGGCTCCTGTCTCCAGCAGCAGCGGCAGCAGCGGAGGCAGCCACCCCAGCAGCCGCAGCAGCAGCCGGGAGAACAGCGGCAGCGGCAGCGTGGGCGTGCCCATCGCCGTGCCCACGCCCTCCCCGCCCAGCGTCTTCCCAGGTAACGGCTTCCGCCGCCGGCCTTTCTGAGAGTGCACTCAGCTTCCCGTGGGACTGCACCGGGCTCTCTTCACAGTCGGGGTTTATGTCCCTTTAGGACTCCATCGGCGTTGGGCAGTCTTTATGATGCATTTGTCATTTTTAACCGGGTAATCTGCCAGTTTATGCTCACACCCTTCTCTGCACTTCGTTGGCGCCGTAAGCTCCGTGCGTGCGCTGAGGTGTCAGGTTCCCCCTGTGTTACACGTTCAGTTCCGCTGTGTTATGGCAGTGCATTCCTTGGGACAAGGGGGACTCGATGTGAAAAATCATATTTATAACAAAGGGTTGGACAAATATCAAGAGTAATTTTGACAGTTAAATTTAGTGGAGTGTTGGAACTTAATAGTCTCTGAAATGCTACACTCTTCTCTGAAACAGAAAACTGTGCTTATTTAATCTGAGAACACCAAAGTTAAAATTTAGTTTTAAAAGCACGACACAAATGACTTCGGGGTAGAATATCACATAATTTAATTTACTAATTAACTTACTTATCTTAATGACAAATAGATATTACCTTTTAAAAAGTCATGGAAAAGAGAGATTTGTGTTTTTCTGAATGGTTTTTTATCTGATAAGATATTTATGTCTGGAACATGTTTTCTGATTTGGGTAATTCAGACTGGAATGCTGTTGTTTTTTAGTACTTAGTGTGGTATACCACTTACAGAATCTTATGCTAAAGATTACAATAGGAAGGGAGCATTTTTCTTGCAGAATAGTGGCTTTCCGTTAAAAAGGAATGCTTGTTTCTTAATGAATTAAAAAAGCCTGTACCTTACCCTGGCGTCTTGAATTATTTGCTGCACACCTAATAATCCTGTAACATAAGCTTTATTCTCTTTGCTTTTTAACGCCCTCTTCTATTTGATTAGTGTTGAGCACCGAATGTCTAACATTAAGTTCTCTTCTGCCTTCGCTCACCCTGTCTAATGGGATTGCCTCATTAATGCCGCCTCTTCCTCCTCTTTCCCCTCAGCCCCTGCTGGCTCTGCTGGTACTCCCCCCCTTCCTGCTACTTCCGCCTCCGCCCCCGCCCCTAGTGCTCCTGCTCCTGTCCCCTCTGCTGCCCCAGACGCGGCTCCTGGGGGCGCCCAGGCTCTTGCTGATGGCTTCGCTTCTCCAACTCCCCCCGTTTCTTCTACTCCCCCTACAGGTGAGTGTTGGCTCATTCCTTGGCAGGCAAAATCCGGTCATCTGGCTCTTATTTATTACCTGAACTTTGGCTTTTGTTTGTCTGTTTGTGCTTTGTATATTTAGAATAATTTACTAACTAGAAAATGGCACATGACCAAAGTAAAATATTCTAAGGAAATTAGGGTAAAGTTTCTCATACATTTTTTTCCCAATGGAGCAGCACAGAAGTAAGTTTTTTATTGCTTGAATTTCATTTACTAGAGATTTATGAATTTATTATGGAGATGTCTTTTATAAACAGTTTTGGAAAGTTGTCATTTACAAATACTGTGATACAAGTTAGATTATTAAAAAGAAAAATCTATGGTAATTCTAAAGTACAATTTATAGGAGATATTTGATGTAGCTGTCTCATAAGTCTTTTATAATAGAATCTGTTGCTTATTATAGCAGCATTGAGAACATAGACAATGCACTTTTAAAGAATTTCAGGTTTACTTAAGTGTTATTTAAGGTTGACTGGTGTTTCAGTGTTTTAAAATTATAACCTAAAATGTGTTTTCTGATGGGGAAGGAGAAAAGGGATCAATTGCTACAAAATATATTTGCAAAGATAATAGTGATGCTGGTTAGTAAATTAGCTCTTACCTCTGATAAAAATGTGTTTGGTTACATATCACCTTAGTTTGCCAAGAACTTCATATAGTATATATTTGGCTCTGCTGCTATGAGCTGATGTTTAAATGTTAAAAGACACTTTCCGTTCAGATGGATTTTGGGTGGTGGTCCATGAGATAGCTTCTGTAACAGCACTTTTTAAGGCAAGCTTCCTGTAGCGCGCAGATGTAAAGACGGGCTGTTCTCTCAGCTACACACAGCTCCGTTTGGCCGGATGGCGCGGTAACGGTGGGAGTTTTGTTGTGCCCCTGCATCGGGCACATGGTGAGGGTAAATAACATCCTGGAGTCACTGCAGGCGCCTCCTGTGGCAGCCCCAGCCCCAGTGACCCTCGCTGCTCTGCCAGTGTCCTTGAAATGTGCTGGTTTAGGAGCTGCGGCCAGAAATGAGTGAGGTCCGGCCGAGGGGGGCTCACCGGTCAGGTCCGTGCGGCACCCGCAGACCGGGCCGTCCGCCCTGCCCAGGGGGAGGCCGCTGGCACAGTGTGCGTTTAAGGGAATGAGCGGGGTGGCAGGAGAGCTGCTCCCCGCGCAGAGAGGACGCACGTTAGGGCAGGTCTTGAGTGCACTCATGATAGTCTTCATCTGAGCTCATGAGTCCAGGTTTGATAAATTTATGGAGTTTCTGAAGCTAGATTTTTGTCATGTAAGACCATTGTACAATCACCGATAACATCAAAAATGTGTTTTTTGTTTCTTTTCTCCTTTCACTTTCCTTTCTTTCATCTCTTGCCCTTTTTCATTTCCTTTCCCCTCCATCTTTCTCTTCCCTTTATCCTCTCTCCTTCCCTCCTCTTTTCTTCCTCTATACTTCACTCGTCTCCCTTTTCTCCTTCTCCTTCCCTTCTCTCTTCCCGCCCCCCCCTCCTAATTTTATTTTTAGAGAGAGTGAGAGAAACTTGCTATTCTGCTTGCGTATGCACTCCTTGGTTGCTCTTGTTTGTGCCCTGACTGGAGAGGAGCCCGCCGTGTCGGTGGGTTGGAATGACCCTGGCACAGCGGGCTCTCGGCAGCCTCTCTGCCTCCCGCTGCTGGAGCGGTCACTCTGGTGCTCGAGTGCCTTGTCTGTCGCTGGACCAGTGCACCCCCAGCTGAATGGTGTGGAGTGGGAGTGAAGACAAAATGTAGGAACTGGTTTGCATGAGAAAATTGGATGGTTAGGAAAGACTGTCTTCAGTTGGCATTAGTTATTGAACTGCTCTCAGAGAACAAAATATAAAAAAATTGCTAAAGAAAAATGTACAGGTTTAGGGATGTTATTAGAAATAAGATATATTTTGATTTGCTTTTAGTTTTTCTCATGTCTGTAAATTTCTTAAACTGTAATGTTAAAATAGAATATTCTAGTTTTAGAGATGGATGTCTTTGAATAAAGATGCATTTGATTTAATTATATCAGTTGATCTTTTGCTAGAAATATTTTGTTTCCCTTTAATTGCTTTGCTACCTTACAGTTGTTGTTGTTGTTCTTTTGGAATAAGTCTGTGTGTCAAAACATTTTTTGTTTTGTTTTCCAAATGGCATTATTATTTTATTGAGTTTTAATTTTCAGTCTTTTTAGTGGATTTGGGGGGGGGGTTGAGGAAGTGAACCATAAATTTTAGTTAATTATGATTTTGAAACCCTCTACAATTATTAATTTATTACAATTAAAATGTTAATAAATAATCTATTTACATGTAGCTTTTCCAAGCCTAATCAAGAATCTACTCTCCTGTCTTTTCGCGTTGGTATGCAGCTGAGCACTGTTACTTTGCATTGTTTGTCAGATAACTAATGAGCTTAACTCTTATTTTCCATAAAATTATTAAGGTTCACGCACACCTCAAGTATTTCTCCTGAGATGATTTCCTCTTACCGGCATATTGACGCTCTTCCCATTTCCAGGCCATCCCGTCCAGTTCTACAGCATGAACAGACCCGTCTCCCGCCACACGCCCCCGACGGTAGGCGGCTCGCTGCCCTATCGCCGCCCCCCGTCCATCACCTCACAAACGAGCCTTCAGACGCAGGTGAACGGAGGCCCTTTCTACAGCCAGAATCCAGGTTAGATTTTCTTTTGCAAATTATAGAACATACCTGGTTAAAATCTTCAGTCACAGAGAAAAAACCTTTAGTTACAAACGATTAGCATATGCTAGGTGGCTAGTACTAGTTTTTTGAATAAACGGAGGAATGAAGACAAGGTTACTAATACTGTATTTTCCATTTTTAAAAAACTCAATACATGGTTTCCATATAAAGTTGTAGAACTTAATTTTTTTGAACAGAATCATTTTGAATGTGCTAGTGGTTATTTGCTTTTAAAAATAGTGTAGTAAACAATATTTTCTTAGTTAATTAGATATCATTCTATGAATAGCATTAAATGAAAATTGAGTGTACATGGACAGGGTTTGTAAGTGGCAAAGTAAAAGGGAAATTCTTTGAAGTGCTTTGTGCGAAGGAGTTGTAGAGTCTTCTTCAATTCTCCTCCAAACCTATGGGAAAACGGACTTGGACAGATTGACTCAGATACAACAATCACCTTTCAGTTGCATGCATGCAGAAGACTTAATCTCACATGTATTTAATATACATATAATAATTTTTGCTTCGCCAGAGAGGGTAAGAACACAGCTTAGACTTGACTATTGTGGACATGGTATGTCAGCTTACTATGTTTTTCTGGATTTTTCTCAAGTGGCCAGCCAGGTTCTAGCTGGTTTGGCTCAGTGGATAGAGTGTTGGCCTGCGGAGTGGAGGGTCTCAGATTCGATTCTGGTCAAGGGCACATGCCCGGGTTGTGGGCTCGATCCCCCAAGTAGTGGGTGTGCAGGAGGCAGCCGATCAATGATTCTCTGTCATCATTGATGTTTTTATCTCTCTCCCCCTTCCTCTATGAAATCACTAAAAAAATATATTTTTTAAAAAAGAGGCCAGTCAGTTCATTCCATATTTGATAAAACCTGAATTTAAAATGATAGCCTAAATTTTATGGAGTGGAAATCTGTCTCCTGAGGCTACTACCTTTTGGTGAAACCTTGTTGCATTTGGAGTCATGTAGAAGAAATATACTCCCCCTTCATAAATGCAATTTAAATAATACTTTTATACTTATCATTTGATTCTTATAAATATTCGATCATTTTCATCTGTATTTTTATAGGTGAGGAAACTAAGACTGAGCTGTGATGGTCAAGTTAGGATTTGAACTTATGTTATTTGATTCCATGTTCTTTCTGTTTTAACTATGCTACCTGCTTTTAGATTAAAAAACAATCCTTTGCCTGGCCTGTGCTGCTCAGTGGTTGAGTGTCGACCTATGAACCGGGAGGGTCTCGGTTCGATTTCCGACCAAGCCAGTTGCCTGGGTTTCAGGCTCGATCCTCAGGGCGGGGCATGCAGGAGGCAGCCAGTCAGTGATACTTTTTCATCATTAACGTTTCTGTCTCCCTTCCTCTCTGACACCAATAAAATAAAAACAACAAAACAAAAAATCCTTCTCTTACCCTCTTATTGTGCTCTCTTTTGTTGGGAGGAAGATGTCCACAGTGCAATGTAAAGTGCATCAAAGACTGAGACCTTGCCATTCTTTTATACAGTTACGATAGGCCCGGTGCATGAAATTCGAGCAAGAGCAGGCCTGCCTTCCCCGGCTGCCAGCACTGGCTTCCCTCGCAGACCTGGCTTTGTCCGAAGGTTGTCTGGAAGGGCGTCAGGTCTAATTAGCATATCACGCTTTTATTATTAGAGACTAGAGGTCTGATGCATGAAATTTGTGCACGGGGCTTAGCCCTCGCAGCTGCAGCAGCTTGCCTTGGCTGTTGCAGCCCCAGCTTCTCTGGAAGGTTTTCTGGAAGGTCATCCAGAAGGACGTTAGTCTGGCCAGTCTAATTAGCATATTAGGCTTTTATTGTTATACATATCCTGGGATAGTACTCAGTAACTATTTGTTAAATATAGAATGAGGCCCTTATTCCTTTATTCAAATCCCTTTATTGGTTTGGGTCTCTCTGGTAGATTAAATGCCAAATTTATAGTCTAATTATAGTGTGCCCTGTAGTGTGATCACCAACTGCCCTACTTAAAATATATTTATCTTACTGCTAGCTTTGATCACACTTAGTGATTTTGGCTGTACCATTCTTTTTAACTCATTTTGAGCTTAATTTTGACAAATCTGTCTTTTCATCCATTCTTTTATGTCATATTGTCCCAAACCCATATTTGAATAGGAACTATTTTGTATCTAAATGCATTTTTATTTTGAACTTGTAGTTTGTTAGATGTGGGTTATTTCATAGTTCTGAAGGTAAGCTCTCTCCCTAGACCTCTTAGAAGTCTAGACAACTGTGGCTTAGGGCCCTTATTCCCTTCCTTATCTTTGGAAGAGTGTCAGTCCAAAATGGGCTGGTTCTGTACTGGAGCCAAGATGCTTCCTCTTACAGCTTGAGACCAACTGTGCGTAATGCACAGAACTCATACTATACACAAGGGCATCTCACGCTGTGCACATGGCAGGGGAAGTTATATGAAGGCTGTTTAAGCACATATTTATACATGTTTTAAATACTTATTTTAATATTTTTTTCTTTATAAGTCTGATTTTAACATACTTCAAAGTATATGTTAAAGCAGAAGAATACCTTATGGAATGATGTTAATGAAAGTATTTTTTATGCTTATGAAAGTACAGTGAGTTGAGATTCATGTGAGACAATTTAGTTAGTTGGCGGTTTTTTTGGTTTTTCTTTTTCCTGTCCTTCTCTGTGTTAACTTCTGCCTTCTACTCCCTGGTTTGGTAACTATTTACAGAGGGTAGCTGGAGCTTTGCTAGTTGACTAATCAGTGCTTTTTCTAAATGAAATTTTTTTTTACTAAAACATGTTCTTTGAAAAGCATTCTTTCTCAACTCTTGTTTGCTTGTCAATCCAGTTCAATTTCCTCAAGTCACATCTAGTCTTCCTCCCTGCTACCACCTCCACTAGCACTACCACGTCTCACTAACCATCACCACCTCCAGGAAATTGCTACAAATAATTGTTGGGTTAACATTACTATTTTGTTTATGTGCCCAGTTAGAATGTGATCTCTTTGAAGGTGCTAACTTATTCAGTTTTAAGTTTTAGTAGTCTGGAGTTATTAAAGGTATTCTCTCTTTGTAAGAAGACTAGAGGCCTGGTGCATGAAAATGCATGCAAAAGAGGGGGGCTCCCCTCAGCTCAGTCTGCCCCCCTCCCCCCCCACAGTCCTCGGGAGTGGGAGGCGACCTGGCGATCAGGGGAAGGCGAAGCCCCCATCACATCTCTGCTGCTGCCACTGCTGACAGTCCTGGTTACTTGAGGCTCGGCTGGCCCTGGGTGGCTGGGCAGCCCCCATCTGAGGCTTGCCTGTGCCTCGGGCCAGCCCTGGGTGGCTGGGCAGCTGATATCCTAGGTTTGCCTGTGCCTCGGGCCAGTCCTGGGCGGCTGGGGGGCTGGGGAATTGGGGGACTTGGGAGGCAGGTGCGCGTAGTGGTCAGACCCGCCTGGTGGCTGGCCCAGCCATATCGCACGCCTGACACCCCGTGGGGCTGAGGGGACTGGGCACCGCCATCTTGTGGCTGTGGGCACCACCATATTTGAGGGTGTGGCAGTCAATTGGCATATTCCCTCTATTAGAAGGGATGCTTGCCATACTTTATATCCATTCTGAAGGAAACTATAATTATAGAGTTAATCCTGGGAAATTGTTTGGCACATACCTGGCTTATCTGTGTGTTTACATACATCAAACATTTGTTGCTGGCTTACTAGTGCTAGACCAGGTGTTTGAGATAGAGGGGGGGAAGGCACAGAGGAGAGGAGAATGACTGGAATGAGGCTAACACTTTTCTGTAGGGCCAGGAAAAAAATGTACCTGCTTGAGCAGGTGGTATGAATTGAGATTATGAAAAATTTTAATGAAGGAGACCTGACTCTCAGAGAATGGTTTTGATATTGGTCTCTTAGTCTAGTGCTTGCCACTTAGTAGGAAGTCAGTAAATATTTAATGAATAAAAAACTAATTTATTTGCTGGTTAATGTAATGAACTATAAATTTAGAATGTTGGGATATAATGGATTTTTCCCTTTTACTGACAAATACTTAAATTTGTAACCATCAAGGTAATTTCCTGAAACCCAGATTACCTATTGAGTCTGAAGAAATTCTTTCTTTGAGAAGGTCTGTTATTGACATGAAAAGCTCAGTTTGCCATTATGTATTAGAGTAGGTCTGTATGGATAAATGAGTACTTCATGTTGTAATTTTTTAAAAAAACAGTTCTTAAAACTCTCCTAATACTTTGTTTTGTGTGTTGATGAATTACCCCTCAAAAGAGGATCCTTAATATATCTTATAACATGTTCGTGCGTAGTATAGTGGTTTCCCTCATACATGTTCGTTTTATTGTATTATCCTTTTCTTTTAATGTAACTCGCCCTTACCCCTTACCCTCCGCACCTTTTTTGTTTTTACAGTATCTCTTGCTCCTCCTCCTCCCTCCATCCTACAGGTAACTCCTCAGTTACCTTTAATGGGATTTGTGGCCAGAGTCCAAGAAAATAGTAAGTTTATGTCTTCCTTTATGCTGTAGATCAGATTGTAGGCATAAATGTCATTTATATGTGATTGGCTAAATATCCATTTGTTGATACTTCAAGTATTTGAATATAACAAATAATTCACTATGTGAGCAGTTAGTAGGTATGATAAAATAATTAAGATGAAATTCTCTACTTTCAAATAACTTAAAATCTGGTAGTGAAAAAAAATTTAAATCGGGCACATGTAAGAAAAGAGAGATCATACCTGAGATGTTCTTTAATCACTAGCTATCCCATTTTTTCCCCCCCTCTGGGATGCTCAAACAAGTAGCCTAACTTTTTATCGCGGGAACTTAGGGTTTGTGGCTGGCCTGAGAATTTTCCTTTGGTTCTGTGATTCCAGGTGTAAAAATGGCTAGGCCATGGTAGGTCCCCGGGGACCAAATTGCCCCTCTATTTCCTAACAGGCCTCATAGATTGGCAATGAATTACCATTGGCTTGTGGTCTGGTGTTGAGTTATGCAGGATCACATAACTGATTTTATTGACAAATTGAGGCTTCTCCTATTGAAGTATTAAGGAATCTCAGGAGACTGATGTCTGAAAAGCAGGAGGCCTGTATCTATATTCAGTGATGAATCGTACAGAGACCAGTAAACATAGTCTGACATGGCTTCTCTGAGGAATTACATTGTAATCAGAAGGCTGCTTGATGGGCCTGGAATTTGAACCAGGGAAACTGCATTAAAGAAAGACTTAATGTTGTCAGGCTGAAGCAGCCCGTTAGCATCCAGTACCAGGGCCGGCCTCACCAGTCGGGGAGAAGATGTGCGCGCTGTTGCTTAGGACCTTGATCCTTGGGCCGTGGGCATTGCCGTTACTAGAGTGTAAGCTCTGCGAGAGCAGGGACCTTTGCCTGTTTGTTCATGGGCTGTTTCCCCAGCACTTACACACACACACTGTAGTCCCTCCCTTTTTGTGCTTCCCTCGATAACTAAATGCCCCGTTTTTGTTGACACAGTTCTTGTGTTTTCACTGGTGATGACCCAGTTTCACTAGAGGGAGGGCTCACTCTGTTTTCCAGGTGTCTCTGCATTTCTACTTGCTAATTTCTGAAAATAGCTTCTATTGCTTCAGTGTAGTGGAGGGTATTCCATGAGCACCTCGTGTTTCCACAATATGATTGCTTTTGGGTTATCTTTTCTAATTTCTTTCCATGCCACATACATTTCTCACCTACAAAACGTATAAAAATAAGAGGTGTATGAGGTGTGCTGTGGTTTAAAGACATAGGAGGACTTATACATTCAAATGAGTGTTGTCCTCTTCAAAACATTCACATTGGAAAGATACACACCTATCTTTTGGGATTATCATAGTTTTCAAATACATTATTGTTAAGTCACTCTGTATTAAGATTGATGTTTGAAAGAAGTCTGGAATTATTTGGAACCAGTTATTCTGTGCTAAGTGTATAGCAGTGATCCCATTATTCTTCTTAAAACCCTTCTATGGCTCCCCTTGCTCTTTGGATAAAGCTCCAACTGTCACAAGGCCCTTCCTGCTTAGTCCACTTCAGCTTCCTCAAGCCTCTTTCTGCTGAACTTGGGTCAGTTCTTTGCTTTTTTCCTTTACATCTGACATGAAATATCCACCCCTATTCCATCCCACCCCATAGACATAAACCCTTATTCTTTCAGGTTTCAGAAATCATGTAAGAGAGTTGGTCTACTCCTGTATTTTCCACAATGACTTAAAGCACTTACTGCATTTAATTATAAACAAAAGTTTGGTTGTCCATGTCTTCAAGACTTGCTCACTGCTCTATTCCCAGTGCTGAGTGTAGAAGGTACCTAACCATAGTAGGCTTTCAGTTGATGTTTGTTGAAACTTTATCTTAACGTTAGTGTGTTTATCTTATCCCGTAGTATTGTAAGCTTTTAAAATAATAAACATTGGCGTTCCAATTTCTGCTCTTCCACTTACTTTTCTGTAGGCATGAAAGCCAGTTTTCGCCTTTATAAATTGGCCCTCAGGCAGTTATTAGAAAAGGTAAAAATGAGCAGTGGCAACATCTTTGAGTAACTGGGTAATTTCTCAGGTGATTGTTTTGAAAGACAGAGTTCATTTGGATGTATACTTTTGTGGCATTGTTCAAATTCAAATAGGAAATATTGTTGATTCTTACCCCAACTACATAAACTTCGTTAAAATCACATATATGTTTTGTTTGTTAAAAAATACACATTAGAACTAAAAGAAATGCTTGTAGTGGGTAAAGTTTTAAAGTTCATAAAGTAGGTACGCTAATAAGTGCGGAGTGGCCCAGCCGATGGGAAGAATCCTGGGAGAAGGCAGAGTATGAAGTTTATAATCCTCACCAGTCAGCAGTCTTCTAGATTCATTTGATTCATTCAGTAGGTTTAGTGAAAAAAAATAGAAAATAAACAGATTGCTCAGAGAATTTCACAGAAACAATACTGGTACTTCATAAATAAGAATTTGTGCTGTTCATTAAAATAGAACAACTGATCAATGCAACTCTCTTTATTCGGTTTATTTTGTTGAGCTGTGCTTGTGTATATCAAGCATTTTAAAAGCTTTGAGTTACTGAGTTTGGAGATGATATTTAGACATTACTATATATATATGTTGACACCTGAGCTATGGAAGCAGATCTCAATAAAGAGATATTTAAAATGTTTTAAATCACTCATATATTTTTACCTTGGAGAAATTCTGAAATAACCAAGCTAAACACAAACATCTTCAGAGATGAAGTTACCTAAAATTGTTTGTGATTTCTGCCCTGCTGATTTGGTAAGATGCTATATTTAAGAAATTCACTGAGAGAAAGAAGCAGATTATTAAACTTTGACTTTTCATTGGAGTCATTCTAATTTTTATCAACTAAATACACTTATAAGTATCCAAGTTATTAATATTTCTGATAATCACTTCTGGGATAGCATATAAAGCCAAACTATGTTGTATTGGCATAAACAGGTTCGAAGGCTCAGTTAATTATTTCAGCTGAACTTTATTCAGCATTCATACACACTAACCCATGGGGAGGAGAAAGCCATGCCTGGAGAGTGGACACTTTCTAGTTGGTGGAGGAATTCTCTTGCCCACTCATGTTTCTAAAGGTTATTTTCGAGTGTAGGTTTATAGTTCATGAACATAGAAGCTCAGCTTAGATAAGAAATATAGAACTTTGCCTTAGGTGTAGTTTGTTTCAGCTTGGTACCTTCTTAGTTTCAGACACACCGCCCCCCCCACCGCCTGCGGAAGAGCCAGCCTTTGATGAGTCCCCCCCGCCGCCCCCTCCTCCAGAAGATTACGAGGAGGAGGAGGCCGCCGTGGTGGAGTACAGTGATCCCTACGCCGAGGAGGACCCGCCCTGGGCCCCGCGCTCGTACTTGGAGAAGGGTAAGTGTCAGGCTGTGGGGAGGGGTGGGAAGAAATCTGCCCACAGGAATGACATGTGCTGGTGCCAAAGAGAAGTTTTTGTTTTACTGATAAGAAAAATTTTGCTTATGTTACATGTATATTCTTAGTTTATAGGTTCTGTGGTTTTGAGAGCATGCTAGTAAAATTCTGTGACTGTTTGGTTTCTATTGATAACATGTTTTTCCTATTGAGCATGCTCTTTGTGAATGGTTTCTGTAAGACAAGTAAAAAAAAGGGGTGGGGGGCGTTTCTGGAATGCCTCAGGAAGAGGATGATTTCCCCCCCAATTTATTAGTTATTTCTGCCCCCATGGTTTATAAAGCTTTCTTTTGTGGCATCTTTTATCAGATATTTCAGTTTAAGCATCTCCATATGAAACTTCCAAAGAAGAATGGCTTCTTCATTTCTTTACAAAGTAGTATTGGGCATTTCTTTTATTGAAAGTTTCTCTGAATATTCCAGCTAACCATGCCATGGTGCTTGGGACACAAACTTCCAAATATTATCAGTACTAATCAGCTCAGAAAAAAGGGTGCTGTCTTGCAGGAAGTTTTAAGGAAATTAAAGCTACTCACTGATCTCAAAACTGGCCCACATTTAGAATCACATGGGGAACTTACATTAAGAAATGGTAGATTCCACTTTTGGTCAAAATAGAGCAACAGTAATTAGATTTATTCTCTCCTAAAACAGGAACCCAGAACACATTAAGGCAGTGGTTTTGAATCCGTGGACAATAGGCAGTGGTGGCCTCTGACCCCAGAAAGAAGGAATTCCAAGTGAGCCTGGGATGCCTGGCTTTCCAGGCCATAGTGCAAGGAGGATGTAACCCAAACAGGGCGTGGGCATTGACTTGTACAGAGAAGGAAGAGCTGAAAGCCACAGAGAGGACAGAGCTTAGGAGATCTCTGGAAGGTCCCGTTGAGTCTTGAACTGAGCACTGACTTGTACAGGTGTGTGAAGAAATGACCTGATACTGAAAGAACAAGGCAGAAAAATTACTGAGATGACACAGGCCTGGAAATAGTTCATGTACCCAGACCTGTCAGAATAGGAAGACATGTAATACACAAGACGTAGAGAAGAGGCCTCACAGTGTGTCGTCCTACTCGGGGCAGATTGGCCGTAGATGAGAGTTGCTGTGGACTGCCCCAACACCGCTGCCTGCAGACCTTTGGAAGCACCCAGCTGGTTTCAAGTAACTCGGCTGAGCTGCAGGACAAAACTCAATACTGTTCAACAAAGCCAGTGCACTAAAAAGTCAGGATTACAGTGGCCAACATGCAAGCCATGTTAAAAAGTAGGAAAATATCCTTTTAGTAACTCATAACTAGAAGAAAAGTCAGTTAATGGAAATAGACTCAGAAATGACCAAGATAATGGAATTACCTTATAAGGGTGTAATATAGCTATTTTAAATGCCATATCTGTTCAAGAAAGTAAAGGAAACATGAACATAAGAGGAAATGTACACATTTTTTTAAAAAGAAAAACTCACTTTTTTTAAGATAAAAAATACAGTATTCGAAGAAGCAACCTTGATGGTATGATAATACAAACTATTCAAAATGAGGCATGGGAAAAAAACACTAAACACAGCAACAGATATGTGAGATAATATCAGAGTCTTTTTTTTGTGTGCAAAAGATAAGATCTCGTGTAGGAAATCCTAAGCAATCTACAGAAATCTGGTAGAACTAAAACGTATAGGTTACAAGGTCAGTGTATAAAGTTAATTGCATTTTATTATGTCAGCAACAAACAATTGGAGATTGAAATTTATAAAAACTTTTATAACAACATATGAAATACTTAGGGATAAATTGAATGAAATATATGAACGACTTGAATGATAAAAACTAAAACATTTAGATAAATTATTAAAAGCCTTAAAATTTGAGAACTGTATGATGCTCTTTGATAATTATCGTTGAGACTGGTTTTCCCCAAAATGGTATGTATATATGGAATACAATACCTATAAAAATCCAGAAGTCAGTCTTATAGAAATTGCCAAGACGATTCTAAAAGTTATATGGAAATGCAAACGATCTAGTATAGTCAAAACAATCTGAAAAGAAGTCTGATGTTGGAGGAATTACACTACCTGACTTCAGAGTTCTAGTGGAAAGACTGGTGCTGGTGTAAGTATAGGAATATAAATCAGTGCACTAGAATACATAGAACTCAAATAATTCGGTGAGGAAAGGATAGTGTTTTCAGCAAATAGTGTTGAACAAATGGATATCCATATTCAAAACATGAACTTCCACCCTCAACTCATAATACACATAAATTAATTTGAAATATATTTTGGATCTGAATGTAAAACCTAAACTATAAAAATTTTGGGGGAAAATGTAGGAGAAAAAACTTTATGTTCTGGGATCAGGAAAAAAATCTTGTGGAGACCACAAAAATACATGAAACTTAAGAAGAAAAAAAGTGATAAATTGAATTTCACTAATTAAACTTTTCTTCAAAGACACTGAAGAGATGATAAGGCAAGCCATATTAGCCTGGGGAAAATATTTGCAAAATAATTTACTAAGGTGACAACTTTGAACACATTTTACCAAACAGATACATGAATTGCAAATAAGCACATGAAAAGAAGCTCAATATTAAAATTCGTTTTTTTATTGATTTCAGAGAGAGCAAGGGAGAGGGAGAGAGAGAAACATCACTTGATGAGAGAGAATCATTGATTGGCTGCCTCCTGCTGGGGATTGAGCTTGAAACCTGGGCATCTGCCCTGGCCTGGAATTGAACCTTGACTTCATGGTTCATAGATTGACTCTCAGCCACTGAGCCACGGTGCGCAGGCAAGCTGCTCAGTGTTAGTTACGAGGGAAACGCAGGTTAAAGCCACTGTGAACCAAACTCAGTACCATCCATCCTCTCGAATGGCTGCAATGACAAACACACAGCACCAAGAGGGGGAGAGTGGTGCAGCTGGATCTCTCATACTTCGTTGGTAAGAAGGAAACATGTCTCAGTCTCTTTGGAAAACATTGGCAGTTTCTTATGAAGCCAGACATCCCCCTGCCAGCTGATCTGGCCTTCCTTCCTGCGGTGGCTACTTACGAGGAATGACGATGGTGTTCACACAAAGACTTGAATGTTCATAGTCGCCAAAACCTGGAAGCAACCCAAATGTTTTTAAAATGGTGAATAAATTAGTTGTGGGATATAGTCATCTATTCAATGAAATACTGTTTAGTGAAAAGGAACAAACTCCTTTATAAGCAACTATACGAAGGGATTTCACGTGTTACCCTAATGAAAAAGACCAAGAAAGATTCTTACTTTATGATTTCATGTCTACATGAAATCTAGACCAGTGGTTTTCAGGGACCAGTTCTGGTGGATGAGGGAATGTACACAGGGGCACAAGGAGATTTGGGGGTGACGGGCATGTTGTATCTGATCGTTGTGGTGGTCGTTATACGCTGATCATATATACAGGTGCATACGGTTGTGAAAACTCATCGACTTCTGCAATTAAACGCTTGTGTTTGTGTCTAAACTAATACCTCATTAAAGCTGCTTTTCAAGGGGGAGAAAGAGCCCAAGGCACTACTCCAGGACGCGGCCTTGGGCACTGACTGTGTGTGCCAGACGCCTTGGCGGATTTTAACCCTGTCCTAGACAAAGTGAGAAGATCTCAGCCATGGAAAACTCCGTTATTCCTTAAGAGAATAGCACGATGACGTTTTGCTTTCTAAAAATTGACTCTTTAGTGAACATGTAAAAATCTGGAGAGATTTGTGAGAGGAAAGTTTGTTTTGAGTCCAAGTAACTCTTTAAAGTTTTAAAGAATATGCCTGAATTGTTCCCTAAGCTGTTTTTAAGGGTTTGGCTTATTTCTGTTAAGTTCAAATCTTTTAAAACATGAAAACTGAATAAGCTCTTCCTTACTCTTTCTGACAAAACAAAAACATACTAGCTGTGTTCAGCTTATGATGGCTCTTATGCGCGCGCACATGCGTGTGCGTGCGTGCGTGTTTGTGTGTGTGTGTGTTCAGGCTGTTGCCTACTGACTCGTTTTGCTATCTTAGACCTTAGGAACTGGTCTTAACCCTGCACATTTGAGTCACAGAGGGAGTGTTTGACACATCTGCCCTCCAGGCCTATTAAATCAGAGTCTGTGGGACTGTCAGAATTTCTACAAGTTCCTCAGGTAATTTCAGGATTGAGAACCACAGCCATAGAGAAGGTTTATTGTAACCTTTGATTACTGCCCATCATGTGCCTGGCATGATGTAAGACTTACTACATATGTAAGATAGTTTCCCCATCTTGCAGACTAGAAAATTAGGTTAAAGGTAACTTGTTAGAGAAAATAACAGAAAATGTTAGTAACAGAAAAGACAGTGCGTCTTATAGTTATTAATGATAATAAAAGCAGCTAGCATTCATTATATTCAAGGCCCCGGGCTGGGTGTTGTCTGTGCATTGCCTCATCCAGTAGAGCAGAGCTTTGGGGTGTTAGCACAGTTCTCGTTTCCATTGGACAGTGGAGCAAAAAGAAGTTTCAGGACGTTAGATGTGTTCTGATCTAATAACTGCAGAGCTGGCGTTCGCACTCAGTGTGTAACTCCAACGCGCAAATTCCTAGCCATTCCTCAGCTGGGGCTTTGGCAGACCTGGGATTGAGTGAGTCTTGGCTGTACAGTTTACTGGCATGAAATTCTTCGATTCCCTTCCCTTCCAAGCCATCTGATCTTGTGTTCTTCCAGGCCAATGAAATAACTTCTTTGTAGAAGTGTCAACAATGTATGGTTATTTATCAGACAACATTTCTGTCTTTATAAGACCATTGTCTTGCTCATCTTCCTATCTCTAAAAGTCAGCATGGATGCTCCATTAATGATTGTCAAAAAATGAATAGTTCCATTAATCCTATCTGGGGATTCCAGGAAGCTTGTCGGAGGACATTAGTGATGTGCCCTGAACAGTGAAGAATTCTCAGGCAGAGGGTCCTCTGAGTGAAGGCACGGTGTTTGGCACGGTGAGCAGTGCCGGTGGGAGGGGACGCGGGGGTGGGGGGAGAGGGCCTGGGTGTGTGTGTAGGAAGTTGAAATGGGTGCTGGAAGGCCTTGAGTACCACGCTGAGATGTTTGGATCTTTTTCCTTTTTAAAAATCTGATGGGAGAAACTTGTGGAAGATTTTCAAGCAGTTGATGTAAATTCCCATGTACCTGCTGGTAACAGTGCAGATGCACTAGAAAGGAAGCAGGGCCCTGGAGTGTGCTCGGTGGGCGCCGTCCTGTGCACCGAAGGCTGCGGGTTTGATGCCCAGCTGGGAGAGCCATGGTTTGCCGACCACTGGTTTAAAGAAATGGAGCCACCTAACCTTAACTTGCAAAAGGCTGGGTTACTCGGTGGAGTGATTCTCTTTTTAACATCACACGAATATTTTGGACGGTTTCTGTGGCACCAGAGGGTCTTGTACTTTAAGACAGTGCTCCGCACTCACACATAGAAGGATACATAGGAAATGAGAACGTCTGTGACAGATGCCTGGCTCTCCTGTCAGGGCAGTTTGGGGAGCAATGTTTATAAAAGTTGGGGCTCCAGAAGGAGTTTCCCTTCATCATCAGACCCTCACACACATGGGAAGTCTGCAGGCCCCCGGGTCAGGTATATTCCAGATGAAGACCAACGGCAGTGAGCGACACGAGGTGACGGAGGTGTTGGTTTTGAGCTTTAGGAGGTGGAATTAACAGGACTTAGGGACAGTCTCGCTTGAACTATTTTTTCATTGGGTTTGCATTTTGGTAAGCATCGAGTGTTAACTAGGAGTGATAAAAAATATTAGGCTGACTAGAAATAGTAAAGACTTTACGTCTTGTTTTACTTTTATAGTTAAACTTTTTTGTCATTTAATATACACTGAGTGGCCAGATTATTATGGTCTCTGAACACATAATCTTGCCACTCAGTGTGTGTGTGTGTGTGTGTGTGTGTGTGTGTGTGTGTGTGTGTGAGAGGCCCAGTGCATGAATTCGTGCATGGGTGGGGTCTGGCCAGGGGGAGGGGACATGGGCAGTTGGTCAGCCTGCCCGTGGAATTCCTGGTTGAGGGGACAATTTGCATATTAGCCTTTTATTATATAAGATATGCACTGAGTGGCCAGATTATTATACCTTCAGAGATCATCATAATCTGGCCACTCAGTGTATATTGGTGTTAGGTGTTTGGTTATGTTTTGAGAAATACATACTAACTTCCTCCTAGGCCTCTCTGAAGTATTTTCTGATATAAAAACTCTAACAAAGCCATTTAATTCTATTAAACTAGGTCAGATACACAAATGAACTGGGGCAAGTTGCACTGTATCATAAACTGCTATTGTAGTTTGTTTCTTTGTTATGCGAGGTTTAAAGTTACATGAGAAACTAACCAAGTCAGTACAGTATGCTTCTCAGAAAGGATGGTAGATGGAGATTGTTGAGTGATATAAAAAGGTACAGAGGAGCTCTTGACAAAAAGAGAAGTCTGCTAGCCCGGCATAGCTCAGTGGTTGAGTGTCAGCTTGAGAACCAGGAGGTCATGGTTCAATTCCCAGGCAGGGCCTGTGCCTGGGGTATAGGCTCCATCCCCTGAAGGATGCAGGATGGTGAATGACTCACTCTCCATCATTGATGTTTCTACCTGTTTTTCCCTTCCTCTCTGAAATAAGAAACCATTTTTTTTTTTTTTAAATAAAACTTCAAGTGGATTTGAGCAGTCGGTTCTCCCAGATTAACTAAAGTGTTGAGGTAGATGCAATGGAGCCTGAGGCTGTCCCTGAGAATATTGCAAAGCCCCAGCTACCAAGTTATTTAAGCAATGACGATTTCAGGAGAGCTTACAGGTACCTCGGCTTCCGTGACACTTGTAGTGTGTGATGGGGTGTGTTAAATTGGTAGCATAATGGCCCGTGCGTTTTGAGAGTGTATGTATAATGGACTCCCAGCATTTGCGCATAAAACCTGTGGGAACTCAACTATCTTCCTCAGTGACTCCAGAAAGTGAGGAGACAACAGTCTGCTCCTGTCCCTTTAGTCCATCTCCTCTTTTCACTCTCCTCTCATGGGTTCTCACTGCACCAGACAATTGTAATGTGGAAAGACGTGTTTGACACGATACAAGCTCAACTGAATAGTCCTCTTTCCCGATCCTGGGATTGTCTCCCCTCAGTGAGGTGTTTCTCCATGGGCTGCCGATCGGGAACTTGGCTGATTTCTTTGCCATTTAAACTGCTTGGTTCCTAACCTCCGGAGAAGCTTCGATCCCAGTACACAGAACTGGGTATTAGGAGAACAAGAAATTTTGGTCCATGTTTAGAAAGTTACTGTTGGAGGTGCTGTAAAAGTTGGGGAAAGGATGGATATTCATTTGGTCCTATCTTTGTAGGAATATTATTTTTCATATCCTGTTTTTTCCTCTCTAGTTGTGGCCATTTATGATTATACAAAAGACAAGGAAGACGAGCTGTCTTTTCAGGAAGGAGCCATTATTTATGTCATCAAGAAGAACGACGACGGCTGGTATGAGGGAGTGATGAACGGAGTGACAGGGCTCTTCCCTGGGAATTATGTTGAGTCCATCATGCACTATTCCGAGTGAGCTCGCCGGTGTGTCCCTCCCGGGCACAGCAGGACTCCAGACCCTCCCGGGCCCTGGCACTCTCCTCAGTGAAGCGAATGAAGGATACAAATGGTAACTACGTATGTATTGGGTTTTTCCCCCCCCGGTTTATCCCCCAGTATTAAAACAAAAAAGCAACCTAATTGTGAACAAATGGATCTTTCTGTCATCATTTGTACTATGCTGAGCGGTCTGGATTGAAATAAAGTGACCCTTTCTGAATATGTAGAGGAATAACAGCATAACTGTAAAACGAATCTGGTTAAGACTGATTCAGAGCAAAATCTGGGATCTTTCTCAGGAATACTGTACCTGTGGCACTGGCTGTTCTTCAGTGCCTGTGCCAGAGGGTTAGCCCTGTGGCCTACTGCGTACCCCACTTCCTTCCACCCGTCTGAGGAGGAACCGATGTTTGAGTACCGTACCGAACCATTTTTAGTTGTTTCTGATGGCTCCTTTCCTCTCACAGGTAAATTCTGCCCTCAGTACTTGCGAATACCAGTGAATGCTGAACTGACTTGCATCCCTTCATGTTTCTCAATCTGTAGATGATGATAAAATGAGTCTCCCAGCATTCTGAGGGCGGTTGGCGGTGGCCAGTGTGACTGAATGTGCTGCTGCTGCACGAGACTGGTGGCCCTGAGGGCCAGCACCCCGCTGTGTGTGCAGTGGCCGGCTCACGTGCGGAAGCAGGTGTGCGATGCTGGCCGTGAAGGCGCTTAGGGCTCTGAGGAGGTTGGACTGTAGAAATGTGCTGCCCAGCAGGATCCTAAGGCTTTGCCTTGGGCCCTGGTTTGAGGAGCAGGACTTTGGAAGTTAGACCAACTGTTTACTTTCACTATTGAGAAAAACTTTCTTTTTGAGGAAACTAGCAGTTATTTTTAAATTTCTTGATAGTCACTGGGAATAAAAGGCTTGCTACTGTAATCCTGGAGTGATGTTAATGGCCAGTGTTAGCTGCTGCCGAGTTGTTTACTCACTTGACCTAGAAAAGGGAAATACTCTCTTGGTTTTGTGGTTGGCCTTGGAAGTAGCTTCCTTTGGTAAGACTTTGAACCTTGTTTCTCAGACTAAGAATAGTGGGGTAAGATCAAATATTTATCCCATTACATAGATTAAAAACTGATAGGACTTTGCAATAAAGCCCCTTTTTTATAGCTACAAGTTTAGTGGAGTCAGTGAGTAAGATGGCTTGAATCCTTTCGGTAATCAGTATAAGAGTTTAAAAAACCCATGAGGGCTTTGCTGCTCACAGGTGAAACTCGGTGATGAACCAGCATGGTTAGGCCCCCAGTCATGGCTCTTCCCAGGCCCAGCAACTTGGCCAGAGAGCTTTGCCAGGCGACTTCCCTGTGTGGTTCAAAGGGGAGAGGTAATAGCTGCATATACAGTTGACCCTTGAACAACATGGGTTTGAACTGAACAAGTGAATTTTTTCAAGAAATATACAGTCAGCCCTCCGTATCCCTGGATTTTGTATCTGCATTTTCAACCTGCAGTTGGCAACCACAGATGTGGAGAACCAGCTGTGTGCATCGTTTTAGATCATTTTGTGTAAGCGACTTGAGCATCCAAGGATTTTGGGGGGTGTGTGTGTGTGTGTTCTGGATTCGATTCCTCACAGATAAAGAGGGCTGACGGTAGTAGTTAAGTTGGGGAGTCGTTATAGGTGGATTTTCAAGTGCCTGGGTCTCAGGGTCAACTGTGTTTTACATGTGAGCCTTGAACATGAACTAGAGCAGATAGAGGACTTGATTGAAATGGACATATGTGGTGGTAGTGTGTGAGGGAATTCAGACGGTGCAGGGGGAATATTCCAGTTGTGTCTATCAGGGCACAAAACCGCCATTTTACTGAGACCCAGATACAGTTCCATTGTCAAGACTTGTTGTAAAGTTGAAGGCCCCTCTCACCCCCCCCCCCCCCCGCTCCCCCTTATTGCAAGTCAGCCATTTTGCTTTTAGCTCTCTTTAACTTAAATTTGACTTTGCCCCCATGTTTTCATGAGATCATCCCAACACCCTTTATCCTGTTTTCCTTTGAAATAATGGCCTCTGAGCTGTCGGCTTCGTTATGAACCCAACCTAGACTACTTGGACAGGTTAGCTCTTCTTGGTGTATAACTAGGAAAATGTTTAAAATGGTATGTTCCAGTTATTTATTTAAATACCTTTTTTGCTGAGAAAGCTTAGGGGTTTATAAGGAGGTATTTGAAATCCAGAAAGTAGTTCCGTACCTCACACCGATGGCAGACAACTGCGCATCCAGAGTTGGCGGCAGCGGCTTACCGGTTGGACTGTTGCTGTTGGCAGACATTGGTGGTGACGGCCGGCAGCAGGGGAACCACAGGTCAGCCGACCTTTCTCTGTATTATTTAGTACTAATGTGTGATTTCAAAAAATGTTTGATTTTCTGCATACTTTAAGTTTTTGTACAGTTTTGAACTCTCTATATTGTCTTAGAAGGATATCATGTAACAGTGGGCCAGGCCTACAGTAATGGGAGCCTTTAAAGTATGTGACATTTTATAGATTGCATGCTGTTAAGTCTGTGAGGGTAGTATTTCTTGTTTTGTCAGTTTTCCCATTTATCTTTTTATAAGTGAGATGAGATAGTGGGCAGTAGGAATTCCGAATGAACGTAGAAATCTCACATGCTACATAATATTGTGGCAAAGGGGATCCAAGACTAAATCTGCTGACAAGCAAACTAGCAACAACCTTATTATCGGGATATAATCTAACTGGAATTTTTTTCCTTTTTGATTTGCAGTCCATTTCCTTAAAATAATAATTAAAAGGAATGAATTAAAAGTTAACTTATTTTTTGATAGTTGTTTGAAAGGCCATGGTGGTATGAATGAAAATACTTTGTCATTGACCTAATGGCCAAGGCAGTAAATCAGAAATGAGGCAGTAAAATATCAACGTGTCAAAATCTAGACCCATGGTTGGCAAACTGCGGCTCGTGAGCCATGTGTGGCTCTTCCACAAAACACCACGGCTTGGATGAGTCTATTTTGAAGAAGTGGCGTTAGAAGTTGTTTAAAAAATTTGGCTCTCAGAAGAAATTTCAATTGTGGTATTGTTGATATTTGGCTTTGTTGACCACTGATCTAGACCTGAGGTTCAGTCTGCTGTGTTTGAAATAAAGAGTAGTATTTTCTTCAGTATTTCCCATCTTTTGGCTACTTGCTATCTCCCTCAAGGCCACTGTAGAGTTGGCAAGGGCCTGCTACTTTGCTGGGTTTCCCTGGAGGTCACCAGGTGAGGCGTTCTATTCCTCCCTGTCCTTTCCCCTTCTGCTTATCACCCAACTAGAATGTCTCATTCATCGCAGGGATTTCTGTAATGTGGCTTTGCTCCTTGGCATCTTAGGTTGGTTGAAGATGATTTGCGAGGCCTCAGAATGGTAGTTTGCTTTTGTCCTTTTGTGTCCATTTCCTTCCAGCAGGTTACCACTTGCATTAAGAACTATTTTCAAATTATTTTATTTCTATTCAGTGGAGAACAGGGCCATCTTTCCCTTTGAAAAGGTCTCGGTGGAGTAATTAGCAGGTGACTGCCAAATCTGTGAAAGAATGGGGACCAGAAACTCTTGATTGGTGAGTTCCCTCAAACGATTTATTTAGGATCATAGAATTTTAGAGTTAGATGAGATTTTAGTTGAATCTCATTTTACTGATGAGGTTAGATGATTCATTTCTGATAAAAGCTAATTAATAATGGTAAAGTTTCTGACTCTGCCACTTAATATTTCTGCAGTGTCTTAAATGAATGTGCTTTATGTTTCTTCAAAAACTGAGTTCTCCTTGATGTCTTCAGAAAGATGCTTGAAAAGCTATGCTTCAGTTAATACCACCACAGTATTTGTTAAACTTGTTTAAAGGAGTGTACTAACTGCAACCTTAATAATAACTAACTGCAGTACAAATGGCCTTTCCCGTTAGGTGTTTGCAGCAGAAGCATTATTTCAGCACTGGTAGGAGCACAGCCAGCAGCCTTATAAACCAGGTTTTTGTTAAACGGACATTGCCGTCATTATCTTAGGTTTGCTTCATGCTGATTTTGTTCCTAGTTCTTATTGAGAATCGATCACATCATTCTTTAAAGGACAAATAACCCTTGCTAAATACCTTGAGATTTTTTTCTTTAATAAAAAAAAGCATCCCAAAACCAAAAAGCTTATTTTATCATCTTTTGCAACTTAGAATGCTATGAAAAAGCAGTTTTTATAATATTTGTGTCCCTGAATCTTTTAACTGAATGGTTTACAAAAAGAAGGTAAACAATTTGTGATCTGGCCAGTTGTACGGTAAAACCACAGAAAACTGAGGGAGCAGTCGTTGCCAGTAATGTTCGTGTGTGTGCCATTAAACCACCTCCAGGAGTGGGGGAGCATTCACTTCTTAATTTTGAAATTGTATTTGGAATGTTGCTGTGTACTAAGAACCTGACCTAAATAAAATTCCACAAAGTAAGTGTCTTGTGAATATATTTATGCAAGTAACCTCCTTTCTTTCTAAGGTGGTATCTAATACCACATTTGCTCCTTTTTTATTAACTAAGTCTTAAAACTTCGTTTTATCATTTTCCGAAACTAGGAGAAAAGTGATTTGTAAATATACTTTCACACATGCCTTGTCATGGCAGCCCAACACAATTGTGATACCAAAGGCTTGTACAAAAAGGATCCCTTTTGTACTAGTTTGCACTTCTGTTTAAAAAAAAAATATTTTTAACAACCAAAGCTTCCTAGTTTGTTTAAGATGAACCAATTGAACACTTCAAATTGTATTTTATTTACTTTTACACTTAATTTGTTCTTACTGCACAACCTGTTTAGGATACCCCAGCATAAATAGCAAAACCAGGTTCTTAATGGTGCCGATCGACAAACAGTCAAGTGAAGTTCCCATGTTTAAACGAAATCTATGTATTATTTTTATTAAGGGTTGGGTAAGCTGACATGGTGAAAACATGTAACTGGAAAACAAATTTACACTGACTGTGTGACTACTGTCCTAAGCCATTACAATACTTCACTGGCAAGAGTAACTTGGAAAATAACTTAATCTAGCAGTAGAACAAAAACATCGTCAGTAGTACTGAATATATCTCTCTCGTGTATATATATATATATATATCTATATCTATCTATATATATATATAGGTTTGCACAATCAGGGAGCAAGGCACATAATGAAATGAGAGCGAACATTTAAACGAGAAAATAATAGTAACAAAGCTGAAAGAAAAATTGTAACTTCATCTTTACCGAGCTGTGCATAATCATTTGAATAATGTCCTCTATCGGGTACTTTATAATGCAGTTCCTTTTGTCTTGTCATGCTTTAAAAAAGTACATTCCTATATTGAATCTGTTTATTTATAGCAAAGCTTCCCACAGCCTACATGTCAATGTGAGCCTCGATTTAAATTTTTTAAAGAAATGGGAAGAGAGGAAGCAATCCCAGTTAAATATTATGTGCAATTTTCCTTTAAAATAGTAAACAATGTTTTTACACCATTTAGCACAAGCTAATGATATTTTATTTTAAATGTACATTTCTATAAAAGGAGTTCACTAGTGACAGACAATAAACTTAAAAATCATTTGAAACATTCCAGTTAATGCTTACCTTCTAGGCGAGGTTATTTACAAGGAAAGGAAAAATATGGGAGACGGCAATCACGGAAAGTGGCAGTTTTTGGTATTCGGTTACCATAAGTTCAGCTAACAGCGGGTAGTTCCAAAGACGCTAAGGTTCCCTCTGAGTGCTGCATATATGAGCGCGGTACCAACAGCCTCGTGGTCACACCCTCACTCCCGTCTTTGGTAGAAAGCAGCCATCCTCACCAGGCAGATGAGCCCTCTCTCGTGAGAGAGTAACTTTTCTATTTTTGCATAAACTAGAAATATCTTCCTTTTCACTAGCACCTCAAAGTTTGCTTGTTAGGTTTTTTAAATGCTATTCCTTCCAAAGAGTTCAAGGCACTGGGGATTACAGCAGATACTGTTTTCTCTTCAAAATGGCTCATTACTTGAACAAGCAAAGAGCAAACCAATTGGAGATTTCCCGCCCCCTCCCTCACCCCCAGTGTTTATCAAGTATATTGTTTGCTTATTTTTGTTCAGTAAGTTTACAGATAAATATCAGGTTTCTTTTACATACAGACTTTCCAAGGACACAACAGTAAAGGAGCTTATTTAAGGGACAGACCGTAAGGTGTTAAATATCCCATTATCTTTTTATTTATTTTCCTTTATTTTCTACTTGCCTCTCTGTGAGTCAAATCTCAGTGTTAGGAGTGGTCACGTGTCCCTGAGGATGGAGGATATCCTGCTTTATACTTACGATGTCAATTGTGTAGAACAAAACTCAACTTACAGCCTAAAGTGATTTTCAGAGAGAGAATCCTCTCATCAAGTGTATAAATCCAAAATTTATTCCTATTTCACTTAAAGCAAGTCAGGGTCATTCAGGCTTACTTGGTCTAAACGTGAATAAAATCTGAGAGACATACGTTTTGTAAACATATCTGTAGATATGTTTCAAAAATTTGGTGGTAACAAGACTAAAACTATTTTTTATGCATTACAATTTTTAACATGACACGTTTGTGTTAATCTTAGAGGAGGAAGGCAGCCACACAGTTCTGATGGTGACCTAATTGATAGTCAATTCCACATCATTACCTGAAGATTTCCAGGCTAAATTTGTGACATTACATTTTTAACACAAGCTTATCAACAACTGTTTTCCCAGAATAGCAGCTTCTGAAACTTGAATGGGATGCGCAGCTCCTGTGAACTTTGACCTCAGAGTTGTGGCTCTAATTTTGTTGAAACTGTCTTGGTGACCTCAGCACTGTGGTCAGGGGCAGTAAACAGAGAGAGAGGGACTTCTGAGATAGTTCACAGCCCTTAGCAGAATATGCCCTCGGAGGCCGGCAGCACCTTGGTTTTAGAGGACGGAACACCGTGTCCACATTACTTTGAAATTTTCTGATTAAAATCACGTCCAATAGCTTGTAAGTGTCGGCAACCTTTCTCATTTAAAAGTCAAATTTTAAAAATCCAATTTACAGTTAAGTGGGCATCAGTAAAAACCTTAAAAATAATTAAAAAAAGAAAAAAAAAGTAGTTACTTTTCCCAAGTGAGAAATAGTAGCTAAGGGGAAAAAATAATATGTATTTTTTCGAGTAATAAAAGCCAAGCTGGTAAATTCCAGTAGAGAATAGCCTAACGTTTATATTAATGCCTATAAACCCGATCGAAGTTGTTGCTGACTTCAGTTGGTACCAAAATGTTGATTGGAGGGTGGTTAGTGACCCCTTAAGTTAATTAACCAAGTCACTGGCTCTAATAGGCAACTGTCTGCACTGCCTTCCACAGCAGGATGTCTGTCCAGATGTTCTTCTCTGACCTGGAGAACCTCTGCTGCGGAGCAGGAGGCAGTGAGAAGGCACAGAGCGAGTGTCCTCCGGCAGTGGGTTACCATGCACACCCCAGAGAGAATAACAGACGTAGTCTCAAAAACAAAACACCCCACACAACTTCATCCCAGTAAAATCCAATTAAAAATCTCCACCAGGAGCTAAAACGCTGGAAGTATAATCTAAAGTGTTTTTTTTTTGTATTTTTATAATCTGTTGTTTCACCATGACAAATGGGGGGGTGGGGGGGGGAGAAGTAGGTTAATAGCCTTTTCCTTCTTTGGAGAAATGTAAGCAGCCTGCTGTCAGTTCCTGCCCTGACCCCGCTCTCTCCTGGGTGTCCTGGTGCTGCTCTGCTCTTTGAGGAGAAGGATGCACCAACGCATCAGCCTAGCAGGCTGTCCTCGGCACTGACTCAGCACCAAGGCTCAGCACCAGTAAAAACCCCTACTGCATATGTCATTGGATTCCTATTAATAGCTCTTTTACTCCACACACTGAAGCTTGGCAATCTATACTCAAATGTTATCCAAATTGCTATGCATGCTTAAATCAATAATGCAGATGTGTTCAAGGTCACCATAAGCATAACAATCTCAAGCACACAAACCTTGTGAACCATCGAAAAGACCCAAAAAGTATTTTCTGAAGAAGCGGGGCTTTAAAAAATGCACAATGGTGTATGTTCTTAGTGAATATAGTGAACAATAGCCTGCAGACGTGGCAACAGAGAGGCAGGTGCCATTTATGATGCAACACGTCACTGGATGGGTTACACGGGGACTGGGACCCTGATACCTACCTACCACTTACTCTCCAATTCCCACTGCTCCACCACAGGGCACAGCTTTTCCTTCGGGGGCGGTGTCAGCGGATTTCCGCACTGTCACACAGACTGACTCTCATTACAAGATGTGCTGCTTTTTGTTCTTTTAAGAGCAGCTCTGAGATTGCCTTTTATTCACATTTCCCTCCGATACAAAAGGAAATGCACAGGGGAAAAAAGTGCATGAAGTGTAGCATGAAGCATACAGGCTTACTGTGTCATTAGAGCAATGATTTCAAGTTATGCCAGACGGCACATGCACAACATGGAATGCCCCTCACTATGCTGGACTCCGCTGCTCCCCCGGAGAACACTGGGAAGGACAGCTGCCCACCCCTGGCTGCAGCAGCATCTCCGAGCTCCAGCAGCAACCGCATTCACTGCCCTCCGTGACAGGCTCACACTCAGACACTGGAGTCCACGTTACAATCCGTGTACAACCTGATCAAGGACACCTGCACAGGCCACTTTGTTCCTTTGGAATCACCCTGGCCGCCTAGAGAGCAGTATGGACATTTCAGAAGGTGATTTTGCTTTTCACAATGATGCACTATATTGGACAAAGGGTGGGAAACATGATATAGCAACTGTTACAGATCTCTAAGGCCAACATCTGCCGAACGCACACACTCAGAGGGTGACTAGTGACCCACAGACACACTGGACGGAGCATCAGGATCCTGCGCTGGGTGGTTCTGACAGCGAGTCAAAGCGAGGATCGGGAAACCAGCTCCATGAAGCTTCACAAAGCCCATGGAAGGATTCCAACAGCACAAAACGCCCAAGATTACAGTACGACACTGTCCACGTGTTGTAGGCAGAGCTTACCTGTGAGGACATCCCAGGGTCCGCGGGCCACTGCGGCAGCACTGCCACCGGAGTGGCCCTCGCCGCACAATGTAGTGTCTGAACTCGCCCCTTGCGGCACTGCCGACCCGTTCTAGGAAGCTGAGAGGTTTTCCTGGTTAAAGTGCCACCTTATGTAGAGTCATGAAGTGTCATCAAGAGTTCTAACTTTAGCCAACCGGGGGAAAACAAACACAAAAGCCCCACCGAGACACCAAACGTCGTGGTTGTCTTCGAAACAGCACATGACACACCTCCTCAGTATATGATACATCACATGCACAGGAGCCGCACATGGAGACCTAGAATGCACCTTCTAAAGTCAACAGAAGTTGTTTTTTGGTCCCGATCCACATGACAGATACTAGAAATCGCAAGGGACAGGACACATCCCCTTCCATGCCTCTTCTGCCCCAAATACACAAAATCCGTTTTCAGATTATGAAAGGGAATAAATAGAATCACTCCCAGCTCTACATATGCATACACACACACACACACACACACACACACACACACACACACACACAGTATAGGTATGTACACAGACACGCACACAGCTGGACTCTACCTGGAAAGCACACCGGAAGGAAGGCTCTGACACCTCAACTCCCAGATGGCCAGGCGAGCTGATTGTAGACGGATTACAGAAACGGGGAACAGACCTAGGCAGCTGCTACCAGTCTCTGGAGAGCTTGGTGTTCTGGTCTCTCTTTGGGGGGGCGGGCGGGGGCCCCCTCCGCAGGGTGGCATAGCCGGATATGTGGCTGCCCCCGTAGCCGGCCTTCCGCTGGTCGGACAGCAGCTCGGGGGGCGGCGGGGGCAGGGCCATGTCGTCCATGGTGGCCGTGGGTTCTGCTCTGGACACGCGGGAGGAGGAGAGCGAGCCGTGCCGTGTGATGGACTTGCGCTGCAGGGTCCGGTTGAGGTCGGCCAGGAAGCCGGGCTGCACCCCGAGGCCGGCTTTGGGGGAGGTGGGCGCCGGCGGCACCGCGGGGGGCTCGGCGGGCTCCCCCTGGGTGAGGCGGGTGCTGTCGTTCCGTTTGGGCCGCGTGGGCGGAGGCGCCTTCTTGGCCGGCGGCCTGGCCCACTGCTGCGGCTGGGGGCTGACCACGGCCACCCGCGGGGACGCGGCCCCCAGGAAGGCGGCCGGGATCTCCACGGGCGGCGGGGGCAGCTCCAGCTCCGGGGGCGGCGGCGGGAAGTCCGAGTCGGAGGGCGGAGAGGGGAACTCCACGGCCGGGTCCTGGCCGCGCGCACCCAGGACGGAGGCCCTCGCGGGCGCCGCCTGCAGGTGGACTCCGGGGAGGTTCAGCTTCCCGGGCTTGGGGGGCGCGGCCGGCGGCGCTGGGGTGTCCTTGCCGGGGGACCCCGAGGGCTCCGCGAACTTGCTGACCAGGCTGTCCACCGAGGGCCGCTTGGGCTCGGGGGCCGCCGCGCCGCCGGCCTTGATGCTGGAGTTGCGCTGCGGGGTCGGGGGAGGCTTCTTGGCCCCGGGGCTGGCCGTCTTGGCCGGCTTCTTGCCGGGGGAGCCGCTGCGCTCGGGGGCCGCCGTGGGGGCGGCGGGCGGGGTCGGGGGCGGCGGGGGGAACGCCAGGCTGCTCTCGGGCGGCGGCGGCGGGAAGTCGGGGGCCGGGGCGCCGGGCTGCCACCGGGGCTTGGCCTTCACGGCGGGCGGGGACTGCGGGGCCGCGGGCGGCCTCGGGGGCTCGGCCGGCGCGGGCGCGGGGAACTGGCTGGCCATCTGCCGCACCACCGACAGCCCCGGGGACGGCGGCGCGGCGGGCGGCCTCCCGGCCAAGCCCGGGTGCTTGGGGAGGGTGGGCGGCGGGCCCGGGCCCGGCGGAGCGGCCGGCGCGGGCGGGGCGTGGGGGAAGGCCGGCTTTTTGGCCGGGGGCGCCGGGGGGATGGGGGATGGGGGCGCGGCCTTGGAGCCGGCGGGCGGCGCAGTCGCCAAGGGTTTGGGGGGCCCTTGGGGGGAGGCGGGCGGCGCCGTCGCCAGGGGTTTGGGGGGCGCCTGGGGGGAGGCGGGCGGCGCGGTCGCCAGGGGTTTGGGGGGCCCTTGGGGGGAGGCGGGCGGCGCGGTCGCCAGGGGTTTGGGGGGCGCCTGGGGGGAGGCGGGCGGCGGGGGCGGGGGTGTCGGGGGAGCTGCCTGGCCGCCGTGCGGAACGTGATGGATCTTCAGCGGGGGCGGCGGGGGGCTGAACTGGGGCAGGGCCTGCGCACAAGGCACGGGTCTGAGCTGGGCCATGGCCGAGCCGGGGGTGGGGGCCGGCGGCGGGGGCGGGGGCGGGGGCACCACTCCGTTGGGGGGCACGGGCATCTGAGGCTTTGCTGGCTGTGAGGTGGCGGGCAGAGGCTGCGCCACGGAGGGCGGCGGGGGCTTGAACAGCGGCCCGGAGTGCTGAGCGGCGTTCTGCAGCCGGGTGATGGTGCTGTACTTGACAAACACGGTGGCCGCGGAGCCCCCAGAAGGCGCGGACTGGCTGGGCAGAGGAGGGGGCGGCGGGGGCGGGGGCGGAGGGGGGGGCGGCGGGGGCGGGGGCGGGGGCGGGAGAGGAGGCGAAGGCTGGGAGGCCGTGTAGGGGCTGACTAGTTTAGGTTGTGGGGATAAAGGGGTCATGAGTGAAGTGTAGGATCGATTCATAGAGTCCATTCTGGCCTAAAAGAAATGCAAAAGGGGGTGAGAGAAAACAGCAAAAGTTACCGAGGTCGGCTGTGAGTAAAAGGGTAAAAATAAAAGGCAAGAACTGGGGGACATGCGTGAAAAGACCCAGCAGCTGTGATCCTAGATGAGCAAGGCAGGAAGGCTAAAATCCAGCTCCCTGGGCAGCGAGGGCACAGGGAAGTCTGTTAATCCAACAGTAATTTGAAATAGCTATTCTACCTGACAATCTAGGAACTTCCTGTTGCAATGCTGTCCCAAATGAGAGCCCTCCCTCCAGCACCGATGTGCTGGCGAGTTCAGTTTCAGTCCTTGACTCAGCCACATCAGGCAGGGCCTGCTGGGCTTAGGAGTGCTGATGGAGGGCCTTCTGAGCACGAGGGTGGCTTTTTGATGCTCCTGAGCTGACACTGAGAGTATAAGAATGCTCGGCGGGAGTCACACAGGAGTGAAGGAGCTTGACACACACACTCATGCTCATGTGAGACACACCCAACACACACACAAGTCCAGCAATGCAGGTAAAGAGGGGGCATTCTTTACATTTTACTGGAAAATACGCAAAGAAATGCTCATGAATATCACAGCAAAAGGTCATAATATCAGACAGAAAAAGGCAGGAGACAGTGAGAAGAAACTCTGGAAGGCTAAAGGAGAAATATCGAGAAAGGGGAGCTAGACTTTGCCAACAACCTGCTGGCCAGCCCACAGAGCACCTCTCAGCATGGCCCAAATTATCACCCCGGGCCACTCATTTCATGAATGCCTCATGGATGGATGTGGCTCAAGGATGTTTGAAAAGAGCAGAGGAAGGGCCTTTGTTTAATAACTTTGAGTACATCTTTTAGGCTCTTTGAATATCGTATGAAGATGCAAGTTAAAACCATTTGTTTTCAATTATGAATGAGATCTAATTAGCATGTAGAAAGCTGAGGTTAGTGAACTAGAAGGCTCATTCAGTACAGGGCTGAATTCTATTGCTCTTCAGGACACTTGAATGTTCCTTTTAAAACTGCACATCAAAGTGAAAGCATTAGTCCGCAAGACTTGGTTACAGGAGTCACCCAGGTTAACGTGTTTCCACAGAGCAGCCCTGACCTTAGCTTGACCCTGTCTTGGCTGCGGCAGGGGTGTAGACCTTAGCTCTGCTGGCCTTCTCATTTGGCACCTGAGACTGAGGTAACAGAAGAAACACAAGAGGATCAAGACTCAAGCACATCGTCACCGCTGCACCGCAGGGCGCAGGCTCTGAAACTGCGGTGGGACTGCCCTGCGTGGCCACGGGCATGCGATCCTGTCTTCCTGGGCCTCTCGTCGACAGTGCACATGCACAGCACCATTAAACACTCAGGAAGGTGAGACTTCCCTCCAGGTGTCTGCAGTGTGAACCGGCTTCTCTGCTACGTATATGGAGTCATTAGCGCCGGAAAGGGACCTCTCTCTCCAAATTAAGTGGGAGAAAGGAGAGACTATTTCTTAAAGTGTCAGCCTCTAACAAGTTAAAGTATAAGTGCTTTGAGAATTTAGGCCATTAAAACCAATTCTCAAATATTTACTTCCAGAGGCCTCCACATTGGGTTACTAATGCCTCCTCCACCCTCCCGAGGGCTAAATACTAAAATAAAGGAATAAACTGAGGGAAAACAACCTTTTAATTCTCAGTAGTGAATGTGCTTGCATAGTGATTCAGACCAAAAGAACAGAAAAATCAAAATTATGACTGGGTAAAAAGAAAACAGGCCAGCGTGCCACCGGGTCCGCAGTAGTGGCGGGAGCAGGTGAGTGCGGCCAGGACACACCCTCACCCAGCACTTCAGAGGCAATTTGATTTGGTGTTTTACAGTCGCCTAAAGAGCCTCTCCATGTTCTACATGGTCTTACAATAATTACACTCGTCCTTCAGTGGCACTGAACAAGCTACTGTGCAAGGCTTAGGGATCCAAAATTTTATGGGGATTAATTTCAATGTAGCCTTCCATGTTTATATATATATATACACACACACAATAACCGGAAAAAAGAGAAATGTCAAAAAACATAGAAGCAAAGACGATAAAGGAGTCTGAATAAACTAAATTAATAATACATAAGGAAACATTCGCAGCAAGATCAGGGCACTGGCACTGAATGGTGCTGCTCTCCTAAAACTGACTTAGGAGGAGGAGATCGATATTTCTTAAAACATGAGCCACTGAAAAGGAGTCACACTGCCAGGGTTTTTTGTTGTTTTTCCAAATTGCAGTCACTAGAGCCCACTCACAAATACTCATTTCTGAGGAGAAACCAGACAGAATGCATCACGTAGAGCCAAGAAAGATTCGTAATAAAGGGATGAAAAGCAGCAAGCTAACCCCGCACCACAGCCTCTCCATTGCTGCACGCTTACCTTGCTGGACTCCTCCAGCTGCGTGCCTCGTTTCCAGGCCTCAGAGAAGATGGAGCTCACGATGCTCTGGGAACGCGCGTGTGCTGCTGGCTGGGAGTCGGACACGCCGCTGTCAGACTGAGTTGAGTGGTTTGACTGAGACTCTGTGTAAAAACAGTATTACATACATCAGCATTCTGACAGTGTGAACATGTACAGATCTGTTACATGAGAGAGGAGCAACAAGTTACTTATGCATTTCATATAAAGCACCACTCATATTTTCCAGCAGAAAACTTCCCTCTACCTTAGGGGCTAATAGAAAAGCTTGATTCTTTGAAAACAGTTCACCACGAGAGACTGATAATTACAATAAAAGGCTCACATGAAATTATTGGTATCCTGCCAGTCTATCTTGGAAGAACTGTTAGCAACAGAGCAGTGATTTCTTTTCAGTTTTATCTTCATTACATCAAAATTCAATCTCATTATCCATCCCTGCTTCAGGCCATCCCTGAGAGAACTCACTCACTCAGCAATTTACATCTAAACGGGATGAGCACATCCTTGTCCCCAGCAATGAACAGAACTTAGGACTGGACTCCCAAGTGGGAAGTATGTTTCCTAGGGCTTTGGTGTTGGCACCACAAGGCAGCAGTTACACTGACAGCCTGGCCCCCTGGCAAGGCACCAGGGGAGGTCTTCAGGGGAGTGGGAAGATGATTTTACTGGACTCCAAGTCAGGTAAGATAACCATGCCGAAGCACCTAGCTCAATGCCTGCCATCTGGTAGAGATGCCAATGTTACAGCTAGTCCTATCCACTCACTCTATGAGATGTGGATGTTATTAGATTGCCCAGGATATTGTTCCCTCTAGCAAGTAAAACAAACAAAAAGTTCATGTACCTATTTCTTATAATTTAGAAATTAGGTTGGCTGTTTTTAGGAATCATGCTGAAGCACTCCACAGAGATGCCTTCAAACCACTAGTAAACTGTGCACGGGCTTTTCACATTACCTGGGATGCTGGAGGAACTGGACCCTGATTTAATGCTGGAGCTGGATAAGGAAGTCCAATCACAAGCGGACTCTGTCCTCTTTAAAGCTTCTTGGTAGTTCATGTAGAGCTGCTTCCCGTACTAAACAGAAGCAGTAAGTGAGGACATCTGAACTTTACAGGGCATGATTCAGCCGGGTGAGGCAGAAAAGGGGTACATTTCCATTTACTTATTCATAGCCTGTATTAACATTAATACCTAACCATCCTTCAAAATACAGTAAATTATAATCTTATTTTTTCTTCATTTTTACAAAGGCAGCAAGAAGTTGACACTTGATTATATTCATTATCAATATGAAGTATTTTTTCAGTTACTCCTCAAGCAACTTTGATTTTATAGCTATAATACATTTTATTTCCAGTTACTTAATATAATCATCTTCAAAATATGCTTTAAAAGACTTTTTTAAGACTTACTTTTTTTATAGAGTAGTTTTAGATTTAGAGTAAAACTGAGAGGAAGTTCAGAGATTTCCCAGCCTCCCTGTTACCAACACTCCCCACCAGAATGTTACAATCAATGCACCTACACTGACATCATCATCACCCAAAGCCCATAGTTGATCTTAGGTTTACTCTTGGTGTTGTACATCCTAAGGATTTGGACAAGTGAATAATGACATATCCCCATCATTATAGTATCATACAGAGAGTATGAATATTTTCACTGCCCTGAAAATCCTGAACTCTGCTTATTTATCCACCCTCCCCAGCCCCAGGCAATTTCTTTTATCTAGGCTGAACTCTGCTACATGAGAATCATATAATACCTGCTCCAAAGCCAAAATAAATCACTTTTGATGCTACACAAGCTTTTACTAGCAGTATTATTCCATTGATACCAACTATTAAAAGTTTATGTCTAGTCCCAAAGAAAAAAGATATTTAAAACATAAGGCCTGCGAAAACCAGACACAGGCAAAATCATAAACATGAAACAACCAGAATAATTATCATGACAATCAAAAAAATATAATTAAGCACCTCATTATTCTGTCATCAAATCCAAGAAAACTTACCTTTGCGATGCGGATACCATTGACCCACTGGTGCAAGGTCCTCACATCATCACAACAAAGGTATTTAATGTACTGAGATTTCTTCTGGATCTGTGGGTGCTACAAGATCAAAGACAAAGTTAAACCGAGTCTGCTGGAGAACTAAGTGTACTTTTCAGCTGAGGGCTGCAAAATGCAAGTGCTAGAACAGACTTTAAGTTGTTTTAACTCCACTGAGCCACAACCACTTGTTCTCCCAACCCCTTGTTGGGAAGAAAACCCTAAATCGCACTGTTTTGTATGAATGACTGTTAATTATGACTTCTCTTTTTAGCTATTCTGAACATTTTTTAAATGGCTATTATTTTACTTAAAGTATTTAAATTATGTTCAATTATAAGAGGTTTTAAAAATTCTCTAACCATATTAGTTTGTCTCTAACCTGAGAATTAAAATAATATCCTGAAGAGTATTATATGATATGATTGAGTATGTGCAGATTACTTGCTAGTTTAAAATTCATTTTAGAACCTCAAAAATTCTCAACCTCCCTATGTAATAATAAAGGCATTCATTCTATAGCCTTCCTATGGTCATTCGGCTCTGTGCCAATATTGCAGGAGAAAGCCCATTCCACTCATACGATGTTATTTTATTAAAAAGTGGCATTTATTGAGCACTTACCATGCACCAGCATCATGCTAAATGTCCCACATATATTAGCTCATTCCATCCTCATGATTACCTCTACAATCTGAGAAGCAATGGAGGCTCAAAGGGGTGAGGGCCACATTCAAAGTTATTTGCCAACAAGTGAAAGAATCAGGATTTGAAATCATGCAATCTTGTTTCAGAATCCATGCTATTAAATATTATGCCAAACTACTGCCTTATAAATGGTGAAATTTTCTTCCAGATTTGCTGCCACTCTTCTCTTTTCCCTAATACTACCCTACCACTTTTAAAATTGTGCAAGAGCTAAGAGCAAGTATGAAGGAGACAGTCTTTGCATTTAAATGATTAAACACTCCAAAGAGAACATATAATGAAATTAGTTCCAAAACAAATGAATAGCTACACCAAAAGGGAGGTCATTATTTCACTTCTAAAATGATGCTGATTTGGGATGTTTGCATTCTTTAATAAAAGGTAAAAGTTTTGAGAATAAAAAATTTTAAGAATACAATAAATTCTGAATTACTATTGTGCTATTTGATTATTTTTTTGTTTGTTTATGCTAAACATTAGATTGAGACTGATAATTTCTAAAACTCTGTAACTAAAAGTGAAGCTATAAAATCACAGTCCAAGTGTCAAAGGAAAACCACTGAATGTATACTAATCATTATTACTTTGAAAACACATCTAGTCTTGAAAATTAGTTCCCTCAACTAACATGCAGAAGTAAAAAAATAAAAACATGTAACATTCCACCCACTCTAATACTTTTGAGCCTTCTAAACATCAAAAAAATAAAGAACCCCTTAGAACAAAAATATTCTTACCCTAAGAATTTTATAAGCTGCAAAAGGAATTACGATAATACTGCAATAAATAACAACTGTTGGTGAGGATGTGGAAAAAAGGAAACCCTTATATATTGTTGGTGGGACTGTAAATTGGTGCAGCCACTGTGGAAAACAATATGGCAGTTCCTAAAAAAATTAGAAATACAAGTACCATATGATCCAGCAATCCCTTGGCTGGGTATCTATCCAAAGGACATGAAAACACTAATTTGAAAAGATATATGCACTCCTATGTTCACTGGAGTATTATTACAATAGCCAAGATGTGGGAACAACCTAAGTGTCCATCGACAGATGGGGTTCTGGGTCACACGTGAGGCCTGCACTGTGGTGGCCATCTGTGACTATAAAGTAGCCAGCCTGAGAACACGCTGACGTGTGGAAAATGGGACGGAAAGACAGAACTTAGGTTCTCACTGACAATCTGAGTTGTTAAAATAACCGACTCTTACTGTCATGTAATAAGATCCCACAAATAAACTTTTCTTATTTGGATTAAGTTTATTAATATTTACTTTATAAGAAATCAAAACTTAGAAAAACTTAAAATATAAGGATATACAAATACACATTTTACTACGTAAGAGAGCAAAGGCATGTTCACATGTCATATAACCCCTCTGAAAACTCCATTTAGACATCTGTGAGAGAAGGCGAGTATGAAAGGCAAACAACAGCGTAGCATTGGTAGAAGAGTAATTATGACATCATGGACCTTGTTAGGTCCTAGGGACTTAACAAGGGGATCTTAGACCTCATTTTGAAAATTGCTGGATTCAGCTACTTTCTACTGACTTAAAGATCATTTGCTGCTGTAACCTAAATAATACAGCGGTATTCTCCAAGAAATGATTACCTACAAAAGGTTTACTGTTATACTTAATTTTATCAAAGCAATAAAAACTCCACCCCTAATTTTATCAAAGCAATAAAAACTCCACTAAGCAAACACCACTAACCCAAACTCAAATGACAATTCTCAGAAAAGCAAAATCAAACAATGACATAAACATGTAGACCTAATAGCTACCAAAGGGTCACCAGGATGGAGCTAATGAGAAAGACATAATCATCTTTATAATCATCCAGGATTTTTACAAGTTGTTTTTATTAGTGCCCCAACAGATCACTAAAACGTCACTAAAAATATCAGTTCTCAAAGTACAGACATAATGGGTGGGAGTAGCTCAAAAATTTGGATAAGGATGGGGGGGAAACCCAGAAACAACTCAGATAGGCAATAATACCTGCATGGATTACCTACATGCATGGATTACCAGGGTTATAGTTGTGTGTTTCGGGAGGAGAAAAACATTTATGGACCAGATGAGAGCCAGTCCACTTTGACCACAGTGCCCTCTGATGGCTCTGCTGAGTAAGTACAGAAGAAAAACTAAATGACATAAAATTTTATGTCCCAATTTATTTGGCTCTAAGTTTTCCTAAAATAAGCCTGCTATGAAATGAAAACCTCAAGTTTATAATCTATTTTATATATTATGATTCAAAGTTTATGATCTAGTATTCATTTCTTAGTGGCATCAATCTAATAAGAGCTACTTAGCTAAGGATCAGCTGTGGTGTAGCACATTATTCACTATCCTTCACTATCCCTTTAAAAATCTAAAAAAAAAAAAAAAAAAAAAAAGCAAAACCAGAATACTAGATGAAGATCAAAACTATTCTAAAATGCCCAACAGCACAGTCTATGTCTAACATCAATTAAAATTCCTAAAAAGAGATACATGTTTACCTTCAGCACCAGACAACAGTCTGTCGGGGCTTTGTATTTGTTCCGATAGTCCTGTCCGTAATAAACATTGACATGATCCAGCTGGAGAAAGCATACCAGATCCCGAGAAACCTAAGATAAAACACAGCCAAACGGACAAATTAATAATTTGTAAGCAAGCAAATATCATAATTAGCAACAGTTTCTAGTAAAAAATGAAAATTTTACCATGTAGAAATTACTGCTATTTTACAGAAGACAAGACAATGAGATTCTCTATAAATGTTTCTTTTTTAACCCAGGATGCAACAAAAAAGGCCATTCCTTTTACTAACTGTCTTGACATTTACAATTAACACTGACTTGCTTGAAAAAGGATGGCATTTTAAAGGAACTTTAAATATGGTATAGTATATTAAAAAATAATCTAGTATAATAGAGCTCTCTGGAAAGAACAAGAAAATAATGCAGTTCAGTGTCTGTCCACCCATATCTCAAGGTATCCTTACCAGTTAAATAGAGACAAGAGTAGATACTTCTTGGGGTGCAGTAAAGTCTGGGAGGAGTGATACAGTGAGGAGCTTAAAACAGTGCTGGCCCCCCATAAGCTCAGAAGCTACAGGTAAGGCTGAAACATTCATAATCCCAGAAAGCTATTCTCCCCAAACAACAAGCAGCAAAAACTAACTACTCTAGAAGTCCCCCAAAATAATACATAAAACGATGGTTTCAAATTTGGCAAGAAATGGGCCCAACTAATGGGCAGAGAGCGGACATTTTCCAGTTTCTTCTTCTTTATAACAGTTTGGTAAACAAAGCAGTGTTCTGTGTGTCGTACAGAAGTTGAAACAAATCAGAGCCTGGATTCACCTTGTCAGCACACTCACTACAAATTAAAATCAATGAGCACAATGAAGAAACTCAAAAGCCAGCAGAAGAGACACACCTTCGCTTTTCCTTTAGGGACATAGTAAATACCAGAAGCTCGCAAGAGAAAGTAACGCTTTTTCCAAGACTTCTTGCCATCATCTTTCAACCAAAGGACTCCTTCAATTTCTGGTATAGTTACAGAACTTCCACAAAAACATTCCTAAAAGAAGATAAGTTGGAAAGGCATATGATCATTGGATTCTCAGAATAAAGTTGTGTTTACTCCTGTGAAATGCATGACATAGTAATTAAACCAAAATGGCTTTGTATTAAAACCATGCTATTAATTATACCTCAATTAGAACTTCCTATTCTAAACATAATATGATTTTAGAACTGATATGGCAGTTCCTGTAAAATTTTATCTAATATACAGTTTTGAAGAACCAGAAGAAATGTCAACTGAGTTGCATATAACGACACTTAAATGCATTTGTAAACAGCACAGTTATACTAAATTTAATAAAAGTGTCAGAACTAACATAAGCATTGAATTTTATATTTTTCCAAATTAATAACATATTTAGATTAGCTGTCAAGCAATATAGGAATGCATTTTAAAAGAAAGCAACATGCTAAGTGAATGATTACAAAAAGCAACCATGTATTTAGTTAAAAGAATTTTAGAAATACTCACTGAAGATTAACATAGGACATATGGAGCCTAAATTAATTTCTCTTTCTCTGAAGTACAGAAAAATTAGGAATTATAAAAAGGATTTTTCTTAATTGTAGCGAGTAGCATATAAAAAGCTGAGTGCTGATCTTCACTTTCCTAATTGCCTTGTTGTAAGTAAGCATTTATTCAGGTTTTCAAACATATGAACATCTTTCATCTTAGCTTTCTTAAATTAGCAAAAGCCAAAAAATTCAATATGAATTTTACTACTCTTCAAAAGAAGGAGATGTATATATACTTAAAAACGATTATGCTTGTAAACATTCAATAAGACGAAGCCTTGAAATATTTTGTAAACAGCTACTTATATTCAAATTTCTCTCCGGATAAGCAGATGAAACAGCACAATCATATGCTTCCTTGACCTGCCTTTTCTCCAACTCATCAGCTCCCCAAAAGCTCATGCCCCTTTTAGTACACCAGCTGACCTCTCCCCATCAGGCTATAGGAGAATATAGTCTTCTCTAGTTACACTGCAAAAATAAACATACTGCACTGACATAACTGACTTACAATAGATGGTGGTTAATATTTTAATATTATAATGGAAGAGTGAAGAGTCATACCTCCAACAGCACTTCTTTGTTTCTATCTGCCATCTCAGCCGTTTCCTTTTTCCCCAGAAGATAGTTCTGGAACAATGAATAAGTGAAAGGGTAAACACAAGAGCATATGTGATTTCTTCTAGAGAGAGAGCACCTCTGGGTCAGTTTCCAGCTGTGCAGAGAAGAACACTCTTTGGAAAGCAGCCTGTGCAGGAACACCATCATTAAACGGCTAACAGTGGCTTCCTCCTTACCTTACTCATTCATCTTGAACAACTCAACATAAATGCTCTCCCCCAAATCCTGAGGTAATACTACATGCCACAATACTATGTTTTGATCTATCTAATGAAAGTTGTGTTTACAGGACCTGAAAGGTTTACAAATTAAGTATGACAAAGAAGGCAAATTTCCTTAAAATATGCTGAGCTTAACTGATCCAGATGCAGAAAAATGTAATTCTATGTTCTGGGTTTTAAAGAAAAAATCCCAAATTCTCTGAGACTATCATAATCTCCTTTTGGTGACTCAACTAAAATATGAATTCTAATTATTAGCCTTATGAAAAAACTTTCAACAATCACCCATAAAAATATCTATCCATATTCCCAAATGTGTATTCACTTAAAATATCCAGTAAAGATGTGTCATGATTAAGCCACCTGAAGGATGACTACTCAATACCTTTAACCCTGTTACTATTTTTCCTCATTACTACCTTTTATGGTGAGGTTGTTTTCTCTTCCCTGTTGATTTTTATAAATACTAGAGGCCCAGTGCACGAGATTCATGCACTGGAGGGTGGGGTGTCCCTCAGCCCAGCCTGTGCCCTCTCACAGACTGGGACCCCCTGGGGGATGTCCGCCGGGGATCAGGCCTAAACTGGCAGTCAGACATCCCTCTGGCAGTCTGGTGCTCTTGCAGTTTGGGACCCCTCGCTCCTTACCATCCGCCTGTAGTGGAGGCGGGAGAGGCAAACGCCACCACCACTGTGCTTGCTAGCCATGAACCAGGCTTCTGGATGAGTGGTGATCCCCTGCGGGAGCGCACTGACCAGCAGGGGGCAGCTCCTGGGTTGAGCATCTCCTCCCTGGCGGTCAGTGCATGTCATAAAGACTGGTCTTCAGCAGTTCAGTAGATTTGCATATTATGCTTTTATTATATAGGATTTGGGCATAGAAAGTATTAACTCAAACATTGTTTTGAAATAAGATGCCAAGTAAATCAAGGTCACATGTGTTAGAATGTGAAACCATTTATAATCAAGGTTGCTAAGATTAAAAAAATAATTTAAAAAAAGAAATAAAAATCTCAACTGGATAAATGGCTGAAATAGAGAAACTTAAATGTGTAAGTACTTTTCTTTGATGGATAGAAACTCACCAAATAAACAGCTACTGACCACAGCTCTGGAATAGAGCAGAAACCTGGAAACTAACTCCCTGGAGTTACTTCTGCTGCCCCAAGGGCTTACCCCATCTGGCTCTTTGGGCTGATAACCTCTCTGGAGCCTGACAACGGGCCCAGAGGTCTCTCCGCCTCAGCAGCAGTGAATGCTCCCATGGGGTTTTACAACCACAGTATTCCAACCAGGTGGTTGCCAATTTTTTAACTCTACCAACTTAGCGATGAGAGAACAATATAAGCATTTAAAAATACCAACCTCTGTGTCTTTTAGTCTCACCTGTGGATTTTTGAAAAGTGCATATTTTTCTATACGCTCCATAAACATAAGCCTGTTTTGACTGTCTCTTGTCCAGTTAAGAAGATTTTCAACCAAGTTTTCATGGTCTTCAAAGATTCTCTCTGTCCCAAAATAAAATACCAGTACTTTGTTAGTACTCACCAGAATTGCATCAAGTATATGAAACCTTGCAAATAATTCACAACAGAACCACAGAATCTTTATTAACACTAAAGTCCTGAGCCCTTAGAAGTTTTCCCACTGTTTTCAAATAAGGGAACATGCCCTAATGATGGTCAGTGACTTTAGCAAAGTCACAGGCCTGCTACATGGAAGGATTAGGACTGGAATCTAGGCCTTCCTCTAGGTCTTCTTCAGCTTTCAGCCTTTTCCAAGCATATGTTAGCTGCTTATCAAAAATTCTGATATTAAGTATTTCCCATAGTATTCAGTTCTTGTAATTTAAAAAAATTTCCAAGGTAATTTATTTTTTGAGTCATGGGTTTTACTTTTAAACATAGACATATTTTCTAATTTCTAAATTAGGAATCAAAGCACATGACCTTTAGATTAAACATATATAAAATATAAAATATTCAAAGAACCCATTTAGATACTAATTTTTTGAAATTTCTTAATAGTTGCTTATGGCCTCATACTTAAAATTTTTAGAAATATTTCTCTTCTGCTGTAAAAGAATGTATATTTTCTTGTAATTAGATAGTGTTCTAAATATATTTCATAGATCAAACAAATTATTTTTCAAATCTCCTGTATCCTTTTTTGTTTGATTGTACTGATCATTGAAAAAGTTCTACTATGAAGGTTGACATGAGTTTCTCCTAGTAGTTCTGTCAAATTTTTTTTTTTTTTTTTGCTTTATACAATGCTATTAGATAAAATTTAGAAATATGGTCTCTTCCTAGTGAACATATGTGTTCTCTTCATCTTTAGTAATGAATTTTGCTTAAAGTTTATTTTGTCTGCTATTAACAAAGTTAATTACTTTTGTTTTGGTTACTGTCTTCACATTCCTTTTATTTATGTGTATTTAGATAATAGGTCTTTATAAACAGCAACAGCTGCATTTTATTTATTCCTTCCTAATAATATTTAACTGAGTAGTTTACATTTATCATAATTTGTTTCCACCATCTTATTTAGGCTCTTAGTAGCCCCTTGTTTTCTTTTCTTTTATTCATTCAACAAATACTGAATGAATAAAAAAAAATATATATATATATTTTTTTCAAATATAGTTAACATTCACTACTATTTTTTACTAGTTTCAGGTGTACAGAATAATGGTTAGACAACCATATACTACTTCACAAAGTGGTCTCCTGATATTTCAAGTACCCATCTGGCTCTATATACACTTATTAATATTATTGACTATAGTCACTATGCTGAACTTGACATCCCTGTGACTATTTTGTGACTATCAACTTGCATGTAATCCCTTCACCCTTTTCACCTAGCTCCACATCCCCTTTCCTCTCTGGCAATCAACCAGTCTGATCTCTGTATCTATGAGTTCACCTCATACTACAGTTGAAGCACTGCGCCATATATATTAAACAGTTACTTAAGACACCATAGTCATTTATATAAGAGGTAATAGAAATATTACAAATGTGAGTCTTTAAAACTATGATCATAAAAATATTCCAAAACTAGCATCCAAACATTTTCTGTGTATCATGATGCTACTACGTCTATGAATTCAAATTTTTTAATGAAGTAGAGTTATAGATGAGTACTACAAGAATACATTTTTATTCATGTTAATGATGGTCTAACAACTTATGGCTTAGTTTTGGGAGTTGAGCACATATTTTCTAAGAGAAGGGATCAATAATTAAATTTTTTATTTCTCTGTAAATTGCTGTAAATATTTAAAGTAGTAAGAGAAATGCAAATACATATTTTAAGTAAAATAGCAAATTGAAATTGATTATTGATTCAATTAAGTATGCTGAGAATTACTGCAAGATTTATTACAAAACAACACGTTTTAAGAGTCAAGAATTATATAAAAAATGAGGATGTTTAAAATCAGATGACACCATATCAAACTACAAGTCTTAGGAAACTAAGACATAATACACCTAGCTAAAAATAAGATATTTGTGCTTTATTTGTCCCCTGAAAATCAAATGCGGGAATAAGGACTTCAATACAAATGTGAATAAATTGGTCTTCAGTAAATGTGTTGATTTATGCAGTTGTTTTTGAAGGGAAATAGTATTTTGTTATCTTAAAACACACACACACACACACACACACACACACACACACACACACACAAAGTTTGTTCTATAAGAAAATCTAAACTCAACTCAAAGAAATCTCAAAATACTTGAAAAAAAAAAGATTATGTAAAAAGCCAAGTTTATTTATAGGGGATAAAATATAAATATGTCTCTAAGTACTTTTATCAACATGAAAACTGTTAGAATTAAAAAGAAATTAAAAAGTGAAGCAATGAGATTACTAACCCATTTGTAACTCAGAGATGGTTTCTACCAGTGACCAGTCTAAACTGTAACCGCAGTGGGATTTGTCCATCAGGTTATCCAGCACTTGTCTCACTGTCTGTCTCTCATCCACCATCATTGTTTTAGAACTATCATCAGACATGTGGACCCTAATAACTAGCTATAAAAGAAAATTAAATGCAAACCAAAAATCAGACATTTTAGAAACTTTTTAGAAACATTTTAGAAACTTTTTACCAATAATTGAGTAATGCTCTTAATTAATGCCCTTAGTTAAATATAAATGAAAACAAATTATATAAAATACTCTAAAATTAGGTATTAAATAACCTACATAAACAAATTTAAAGTTTCCTTCAAATTATAACAGGTTAAGATTATAATAAAATTATTTTGTTTTACTCTGTTATGATAACTTAAAATCAGAAATTTACTTCTTTTAAAATGCATTTTATACACAAAAAATACATGTGAAAGATATATTAGGAAGAAATACCCTTCTGTAAAACTGATTAAAAAATCCAAGTATCACCTTTTTCACTTGGGCTTCTTTAATTTTCTCTAGGGCAACTCTGATCTTCTCAGCTTTCAATTTTGCTGCTTGTTCTTCCTGTAAACAAAGCACTTCAGATAAACTAATGCTATAATAATGAGATTTTTAAAAGAAGTCTTTTTATCTTTAAGGATATTGCTAGCATTGAATTTTAGCAAGAATATAACTTTATACACTTATAGAAATATTTTAAATAACCCTGTTCACAAAGTGAGAGATCACATATTATAAACTTTTTTAAAGATGCAGACTTGAAGATCTCATAAGAATAGATTCCATATTCCAGAGAAAAAGAAACCTGTAATGTAGTAGATTAATGAGTTTGATTCTGTCCATCTGAAGCAGATGAATTTGGGGTTCTGGGGTAGGGAAAACATGAATGTATATAGGTTATCTGTGGGCCTGACAATTTGTTACACCTGCACAATCCCTAACTTTGAATTTATACCCCTCCAAAGCATGGGCAATCCATCTTTTGCATACTAATGTTTTGTTCTCTTACACTGAAAAAGTATCATCATAAAAATAGCAAAACAAAACAAAAAACTTCAGTATCAATCATATACAACTCCTTAATAAAACTTAAATTTATTTTCATTAATTCATTGATAAATTTTAAGTTAAATATAATTTTTCAAATATTTAATTTCTACTTTATAAAGTTTAGATTAGTAATAAAATTATCAAGAACTACAACTATACTTAAACCATTAATCTATTTTTTTTTTCTAAAACAACATATAGTGCTCTAATACCAGTACTTACCTGCACTTTCCAGCAATAGGCCATGGTACACTGTAGCTTTAATCACCAGTTGAAAAACTCACGTAAGTAAACTTTTACATATAAAGGATTACTTTTTAATTCTAAATTTTGATTTCTCTGGAAAATAACTAAGAAAAACAAACTACCAGCTTGTAGATTCCTTTATCTAATATAAAACTTAAAAACATACACACACAAACAACAACGAAGAAAAACCTAATTATATCAGACAAGCACTATCTGCTGTGGATTCTAATTAAAAACCACAACCCGTGTGTTATTCTTCATTAAAAACCTAAAGCTATCAGGGTAAAAAACAAAACAAAACAAAAAAACCCCAAACAGATTCAGTCTTCTCCTAAATTCTGTTGGCTTTCCTGTTTCTTAACTGCTTTGCTTTTCTCTTCATATTCTAGGCTCTCTTCCCTCATTTCGAGCATAGTGTTTACTCACTACTCTGCGAAACAGAAAAACCAGTGGTTGGGGAAGACAGTGGGCTTGTTTGTCAGAAATCTGATCCCTGTCAATGAAAGGAGCCAGGGAATTAACATAATAACCACCAAGGTCTGGAAATACTATCTGTAAACCCAATTAGACAGAAAACAAAGAACTTTATTTTAACAATGGAGAGGAGTAAGATAAGACTGAATTCTTAGAATATTATAGATATTTTCATTTGATTAAGATATTAGATCATCCTATACCTACACTATGCAAATAAACAACAGAATTATTGTTGATTATATATTTTAACAAGTTTTTTTCTTAAGACAGGTTATAAAATAAGAAAACTAAACTACTACTATAAATTTAAATCTCAAAGTCTGATGAGGAAAAACTGGTATGTAGAATCAATGCTTTTTATATTTGGAATATAAACATGAACTTCTAAAGGCCAAGTTCTTTGACTTTATAATCAATATGCAGAAGTTAAAAAAATTAATGTCCTCAAAAGCAAATTACATTTTTAGGATAAAGCATATTCAAGAGAATGAGAAGACAGCTATATACAGTAGGAAAAATATTTGCAAAATATTTATCAAACATATCTGATGAAGAATTATGAACTATACAAAGAGTTCTTAAAACTAACAAGAAAATGAACCAAATTTAAAAATGGGCAAAACACCTTAACAATGAGTTACACAGATACAAAGAAGATACACAGTTGACAAATAAAACTATAAATAATGCTCAGACTCATATGTCATTAGGGTACTGCAAATTAAAACAATGAGCTACCATTACACACCCATTAGAATGGACAGAATTCAAAACACTGTCAACACCAAATGCCACCCTGACTGGTTTGGCTCAGTGGATAGATGTCGGACTGCATACTCAAGGGTCTCAGGTTCAATTCTGGTTAGGGGCTGTGCCTTGGCTGCGGGCACATCCCCAGTGAGGTGTGCAGGAGGCAGCTGATTGATGTTTCTCTCTCATCGATGTTTCTAACTTTCTCTCCCTCTCCCTTCCTCTCTGTAAAAAATCAATAAAATATTTAAAAACACACAGACACACACACACACACACACACACACACACACACACACAAATGCTACTGAGGTTGTGGGGGAGTAACAGGAACTCTTATTCATTGCTGGTGGGAATGCAAAATGGAACAACCACTTTGGAAGACAGTTAGTGGGTTCTTAGAAAACTAGACAAGCTCTTATGATACAACCTAGCAATCATGCTTCTTAACATTTACCCAAATGAGTTGAACACTTACCTCCACCCAAAAACCTATAAATATATGTTTAGAGTAGCCTTACTTATAAAATGACAAAACTTGTAAGCAACTAAGATATCTTTCAGTAGGTGAATGGATAAATTGTACTGATTCCAGACAATGAAATATTATTCACTGCTAAAAAGAAATGAACTATCAAGCCATAAAGAGACATGGAGAAAACGGAAAAGCCTATAGCTAAGTGAAAGAAGCCAATCTGAAAAGGCTATAGATTCCAACTATATGACATTCTGAAAAAGGCAAAGCTATGAATACAGTAAAAAAAAAAAAATTAGCCTGTTGGTGGGTTCGGTAGAGGAAGGGGGGAACAGGTGGAGCACAGAATTTTGTGGGAGTGAAACTATTCTAATAATATGTCATTATACAGTTGTTCAAACTCATAGACTGTACACTACCAAAAGTGAAGCCTAATATAAACCATGGACTCTGAGTGATAATGATGTGTTAATATAGTTCATCAACTGTAACAAACGTACCATTCTGGTGGGGGATGGTGATAATGGAGACTATGCATGTGAGGGGGTAGGTGGTATATAAGAAATCTCTTTACCTCCTTCTAAATTTTACTATAAAATATAAAGTCTATCCAAAAAAGGAATATGAGAATTTAAATATTACATCTGATATTGGTTATAAATTTTATTATAAAAATTTATTTTCACAACTCACATTTTAGTATATTATCTAGAACACAATCAGTGCTATCTTTTGAAGAAATGACATCAAAAGCAATTCAATTATAAGATTAGCTTATAAGCTCCCAGTTCAGTTTCTGCTCTACAGGCTAACAGAAAAAAAAAAACCCTGATACACTGGAAGAAAGGTTTAAAGGAATAAAAGACTCCCAATAAATTCCAAAAAAAAAAGGGGGGGGAGGGGAACAAGATACATGCAACGAATGAACATACATTAAACCAATGAGATTTCCTAACCATGAATAAGAAACCATTTTTCAGTAAAACATCAAGGTAGGCTATTTTAACATCCAAATTTAGCTATTCTCCCATTTGCTTACTAACATATTACTCTTTACATAAATTGATCTGTGTTAAAACTATCAAGTTCAAATTTAAGAGCTATGTGCTTAATTTCAACCTAGGGAAATTGAAGTTCATTCTTCTCCAGTTTATTTACAAGAATGTCCTTGCTAGGAGCTTTTTGAAGAAACAATTCATCAAGATACTTCTAAGTTCTAGAGTTTGGAGCAAAAGTGGAAATAAAACATTTATATCAAACTGCAAAACTCATAGTATTTTATTCTTCCTCAGAAAGTTTGGTTTTCACCTACTTTATTTAAGCCATAATCATATCTTTTAACCACAACAAGGAAGAAACTGTTATAAGCTTATAGATCATTGTGCAATATAGGAAAGATCAATAAATCTTTGCTAATGTACTTAGATTATATACTTGGAAGACATCTAATAGTTTATAAGGGCAATGCAAATCTATGTTTAATATCTGCAAACCATGTTAATACAAAGAACAGAGCTTTATTCATCTCATGTTCTCTCTTTTCTGTTAAAACCAACAAACTCAGGTTTTTAAGTCTTCTGCCCCTTATCTTTGGCCTATCCCTTTCTTTACACTGTTTGTCCCGTAATTATCCTAAATATATGTAAAAGATACCTCACACATATAATAACTGAACTTTCTTTCCTACCCCTTCTCTTACAAAAGCAAGAGACAACCTATTTTCTACCTGAAAAACTCCTGTGTGGCTATCAATAATCATCAAATGCCAAGCCTCCTCAAATTTACATCAAGGACAAAACCTCAGTGAAGATCTTATGATTAAATGAAAGCCAATGCTATGGCTACAGAGTGTCAGAGCATTGTCTTCAGTGTAAAAAACAGAATACTTATAGAGTTACAGTTGCTAACAGACGGCTAGGGAATTTCTTCAACTAAGAAATTATTAAGGCTTTGTGGGTCCAGAACAAACCTTATTGAAATTATGGGGCTAAAGAGAAGCTAGCAGTTTCCCTGGGATCTAGTTTATTTCACAGATTAAAACAACAAACAATGTAGATTAAAAGAATTAAAAGAAAACTTGTAGTAGTAAACAGTTTGATGCTTATGAAGTGGTCTATTTTAGAAACCTGTTTAGGGCCAAAATAGTCACAACTAGTTTACTTCCCTTAGAGAAATCATATACGTAACTGCCCTGACCCTGTAAGCTCAGTTGGTTAGAGCATCGTCCTAATACACAATTTTGTGGATTTGATACCGGTAAAGGTATGAATAGGAATTAACCAACGAGTGCATAAATAAGTGGAACAAATCAATGTTTCTCTCTATCCCCCTTCCTCTCTAAAATAAATTTAGAACTAACATTATCTGAACACCTTGAAACTTGTCACACACTAAACTAAGGCTCCAAAAGACTAACTTTTTAAGATTACACTGGCAGTTACCAAGCGATTGCTTGCTCTTTACATTACAATGTGACAGTTCCTTTTGTCCTAAGGGTTATAACACAAACTTTGAGATAGCAGTAAATAAAAACTGCTTGTCAAAGATAAAAATTTTCACCTGG